TATTTTCTCGAATTTATTCAGCATTTTTTCATCCTCAGTTTTCTGACACTTCTACTTTAAACACAGCATCTGTGGATGATATTGGTTCCGTACAAACCAATGCACCAGATCCTAAGCAACAATCAGACTTCTTAGATTCTATTACCTCAGATTTTTCCAATGTTACTTTGCCTGATCTGCCAAATTCAGATGTTATTTTGCCTATATCAGGCTCAACTATAGATATGTTAGTTTTACTACAAAGGAATGTTTATTTTGTTCAAATGTTATGTGATATTATTTATGCACCCATCCAGAGAGACAGTCAGCATGTACATGAACTATCCAGTGATACATTATTCAAATTAGAGTTTCAACAATTTAAGGCCAAACAAGATGTGTATTTGAGATTTTTGAAGGTAAATTTACATTTCACTAAGTAGGTATATCTTAAATTAAAGAAATGTTTTATCTATTTATTTAGCTGTTTAAAGATAATGATGAATTTTATAAATTCTTTAACAATGAAACATTTGTTTGTTATCCTGTTCCTGATGTTTTAGGAAAATGAAGCAACATATTTATGTTATATCTTTTAGAGTTTAAGGGAAACTATGTGTTTATATGCTGATAATATGTTGTGTTTAGACCTATGTGGAACCCCTCTATCACTTTCCAAAAAACTTATTGGACCCAAGGTAGGATATTTTTATCACAAAATTATTTTAACATTTTTTAATAGCCAACAGTGCATTGTTTAGTTAATAAATCCCACATGTGATGCAGTACAGAGTTCTCAATAGAATTTTTCATTGGAACATAAAGAGCTACCCGATCAAAATAATTTACAATTGCAAAGTTTACTAGGTTTTCTTTCCTTTGCGCTTTAAATTTTTCAGTTTAAAAATCGACATGAATTTTCATTGGGATATAAGGAAGAATATCTTGATTGTAAATTTCAGAGTTATCTCTCTGTTTATTTTGGGACTTGGTGAATTAGGGGGCCGTCAAGCCCTTTTCTGTGTTATTTTATTGGATGTACTGTACAATTCATGTAATAATATTATTTTATTAATGTAATAAAATTTTTGTATTTGACTAGTTAGTAGAGCATATACAGACAAGAGAGATTAGTGGTTTAGTGTGGGGATGTCGTCATCAGTTATCACAGACAAATGTAGACTGTATGGAATATGTTGATAAACAAACTGCCTATTTATGTGATAGATATGAGCCTATTACTGAACAGGTACTTCTGATTTCTAGATACTTTTACACTGTATGACAGCAGTCTAATTAAAATACAGATCTATATTTCGTTTCGTTTTTTTATACTTTCAATGGCCTACACTACATAAGATTTGACAAGTTGTACTTGAAAGTCGCGTCAGAGGTCGTAAGAACGGCTTTTGACTGTATGACGTCAGGCATTGATTGATCAATCAGCGTAGGCATTTCTAATGATTTACCCAGAGTTCCGTGCATGGCACGCCAAGAAGTCACCGTAACAGACTGTTTCATTGGCTTATCCCTCAATTCAACCAAAACGCGGCTAATATAACAACTCTTCTAGATCCTGTGTTTTAATCATATTGGTATGACAGTGACTACTCAAACACGTATTGAAAACTGTTGGCATTCATTGGGGAGTAGAAATATTACATAAACTAGAGTACGTATATTTTTTCTCGATAATTTGTCAGTTTACAGTTTCAAGACTTGTGCTGGTATGAATATAAATTATAGCACTTATATCCCTTAGGAATAGAAGACAAGTCAGCTTTCAGCACTAAATGTGTATTAACATGTTTGATTTAAATGCCCTCTACAATGCCGCCTCATTTGAAGCACTGATACCATCTGTTTGGTTTTTGTTTGATTTTGCATAAAAATGAATTAGACTTGACTTTTTATCATAAAACTCTACATGCATGGTAATCATGGGGTTCTGAATAGATTTCTGAATTTGAGTTGAAGTTGAGTATTTCTGGCCAGGATAGTTTATCTCTTGACAACACTTCCTTGCGAAAGTAAGGTTATTTTTTTCTGATATTGAGACAGAGAGATATTCACCATGATATATAATTGTTACTATTTATAATTTATTTTCAGATGTGTACCAGAATCAATAATGTACACACTATGTTTACATTAATGGAATATTATGAACAAAAGTTATTAAGTGCTATGAAACTTGGGAAAGAAGAATTATTTAGTGACGAAAATCAGCAACTGAATAGAAGTGGAAGAGACTCACAAGTATCTGTTGCAAGTAGTAAGTATAAAAAAAACATTTGTCGGATACAGAACATAACGTTCATATGTTACACAGAAATCCCCCTTTCACTTTCGCTCATGACTTTACAACAGTTATGTAAAATTAAAAAAGAACAAAAAAAACCCCAATTATTTTAAACCAAATTAAAGTCAATTATGTAGTTATATGGCTGGATTACAAATGACAGTTGAAATGTGTTATTTGGCTTGGTGTATTTAACTGCTGGTGGTAATATTTTTTGTTTCTTGGCAACCTATTTCGGTTGGTTTAAATTAGATTGATATATTATTGTGTTTTAGGTTATTCTGTGATAGACAGTATGTCAGGATGTGAAGAAGAACAAATGTTTTATAAGAAAATATCATCTGGTAAAAAAACAATACTAAATTCTTATCAATCGCATGTAATGTCGGTTCTAAGGGCTATGGTACGACTTATGACATATAGGGTAAGCTTTACAAAATTAAATAGCAGTATCAAATAAATAGTTTATTTTTGGATCCAAGGTAGAGAGATTCGATTGTTTTGTATTTTGATTACTGATATTAAGTGTTCAAAGGTGCAATTAATAAACAAATGTTAAACCCAGAGCATCGATATATCTATTCTTTGATTTAAATAATTTGTTATTTTAAAATTCCATTCTATCAGTCTTATATTTGGTTTTGTTTGTTACAGTTAAATCTCTTCATAAAAGATGCCCTTCCCCTGTTATTGAAATTAAGACTAGGAGGAGTATCAGTAAACACAAGTCTTAAACCTGTAACAGATTTTCTGTCTAACTATTTATCAAGTCTAAGTGAATGGTTATATAAAGACTGTTTTACGCTGGTACAAGAACATCTGTGGATATTCATAGTTGAGGTAATTGTCTTTTGTAAAATTAGAACCAGGTCAATAAACTTGCCCATTGACAGGAAACATGGTCCAGTTTGTATTCTCATTTTATTTGCCTATTTCATGTGGTAGTATATTATCATTGCCCTTATAGCTATCCATCCGTCCTTTCATCCACAATTCTTATTAAACTCTAGGGTAAGAGATTTTAAGATTTTTTTCATTAATGCTTGCATTGGTTGCTAGAACCGAGAGAAACCATATCAATATTTAGAGTTATGCATTGAATGTTTGTAGAGTTAGCGCTCCTGTCGTTGAAATTTTTAATCATATTTTTATACACCCATATAGCTTGTGAACACTCTAGAGGCTACAGTTATCATCCGATTGACTCTTAATTTATACACAGAGGCTACAGTTATCATCTGATCGACTTTAAATGTATACACAAAATGACAATATTTATATTCATGAGACGAAGAGTTTTTAACAATTTCCAGTAATTAGTTGGGTATATGGCCTTTGGCCAGGAAATTGGTCGTAAGTCTTTAACCGAAGGTTGTAAATCAATGAATATCGATAGGGGTCGTCCTCTCATGGCCCCAATGCATCACACCAAGAATACTATCATTGCACTATGAACATCCACGTGACTTTTACGCAGGGCTTATTTGGTTTCCGGAGATGTGTTTTTTTTAATAGGTATTTCCCCCCTTGGACCGTCCGAAATAATTTCCAAAATATGACTCATGATTTCCTGCACAGAACTTGATAGGCTCATTTTAGCTTCTTCCATCACCTTTATCAGTTCTACTATGTCAGAATAAACCTTCTGAAATCGTGACCAGAAGTGGAATTGAAACTTTCTGAATTATTACTGCGCTTACACTTTTATAACCAAACAAGCGATTGCCATACACGATGCGCCGAGATTTTGTAAGAGATGAACCGGGATCATCCTCTCATTGTCCCATCTAAAAATGTGTTTGTTACCTTATGACCCCAAAGCTTCACACCAAATTGAAAAAAAAAAACATGGTTAAAACTGTAGCCTCTATCGAGGGGACTTAAATCTGGAACAGAAGGTGTATGCATGTAAGTCCGTAACCCAAACAGTTGCACCAAAATTCAACCAACATCTTTCGATCCTCAACATCCAAAACGGGCAAAATTTGAGGCACAAATTAATGTGAAAATGTGGCCGTATAAAAATTTACATAATTTACAGATTTGTATTTATAGCTGCCTATCGGTATAATTGAGAGTCCAAAGAAACATCCAAAAACAGACGAACCTTTACTGTAATCTGCGCCTGACGACAGTGGAAGTGCGTGACTTGGGTCATCAACAGATTTATTTTTATACGCCCACATTGAAATGTGGTTGTATATTGCCATATTGCTGTCGCCCCCGTCCATCTGTACGTTAGTCTGGTGCCCACAATTGCTTGTGGACGCTCTAGAGGCTAAAGTTAATATCCGATTGACTTTAAATTTATACACAGTGTTTACAGTAATGAGATGATTTCCGATAATTCCTGCCAGAGTTATGGCCCTTGATCACTTTGAAACGTCTTATGGATGCTCTAAAGACTAAAGCTAATATCCGATATAAGAGTAAGAGTGGGCTGTAGTGTTGTAGTCCAGGCAAAATTTCCCTCATAGTACACACTACACTGTATGGCTTTGCCTGTCTTCATTATCCCAGTCGGTGCAGAACAGTAGGATGTTAAACCCCATTTCATTTTTAGTTTATGTAGACTATTTATTCTTAATTTGATAAGACATTATTACCATTTTAGAACTTTGAAGTGGAAGCAGATAAATTGAAAAAAGAAGATACCGGATCACAGAAAAAGGCTGAGAATTTAGTACAAGCTATCACTGCATGTATTTTTGATCAAATTAATGTCCATTATCATGGGGTTTAAGGTGCCTTGCCATAAAAAAAAACCCCTGATACTGTAGGCAAATTGATGCCTACATCTTCCCATTTTATAAGGTCTATATTAAAACTGTGCAATTATTGAGTTTTGAATTTAAAGCGGGAATTTCATATTTTCTAAGAAAGTCAAAACATAATTATTTCTATGTCTTTTGCTCAATAGGTTATCAACTCACTATTATACGACCATGGGCATTATTTCCCACAGAAAATAATAACACAATTACCTCCCTTGTTTTCCTATTGCCTCCATGCATTAGCTACCTTCAAACGTTGGAATTTGAAGTTGAAAATGATATTTTTGCCAATTTCTCAGCTGACAATAGTGAATTATAGGATTAATAGGATTATTCTGTAACAAGGTAGGACGGTTTATGGATACCATCTATTTTAAGGCTTTATTTTAATGAATTTTAAAAATATAACTTAAAAATATGAAATTGTAGCTTTAAGCAATATATGATATATTTCTATTTTAGTATCTGATGAAATTTATGAATAATGGTGAAAATGGTATTAGAAAAAAACTTTTACTTGCTCAAGCTGTAAGATACATTTATAACACATTTTCATGTGTAGGCCTAGTACTATTATGCCGTCCCCCCAGTTCGTCCGTCTGTTGGTCCACAATTTGATTGTGGACACCTACAGTTCGCAATTTTTATCTGATTTTGACAGAACTTGAAATATAGGTCTATCTTCCAAAGGATCCGTTTCATTTTGATATTGGCATGTATCGGACCATAACTTCATGGATTATGGCCCCTGATTGTACGAAAAATCACATTTTTAGCTTGTGGACACCCTAGAGGTCACAATTTTCATCTGATTTTGATGAAACTTAAAATGCATGTTTATAACCCAAAGATTTTGGTTCCTTTCGATATTCGCGCATATCAGATTGGAACTCCCTGATTGTACAAAAAAACGTGTTTTTAGTTGAGTTTGAATTTTGCGAAAATTGGACCCAAACTGCCATACAAAATGACCACCCCTTCGCAAATAGTGTAAATATATGGTATATCAAGGTTGTGTAGACCCACTAGACGTCACAATTTTGATCTGATTTTGATGAAACTTAAAACATGTGTTTATATCCCAAAGATATCAGTTCCTTTCAATATTCGCGCATAGCGGACCATAACTTCCTGGATTGTGGCCATTGATTGAACGAAAAAAATCACGATTTTGGCTTGTGGACCCTCTAGAGGTCACAGTTTTTATACGATTTTAAAAATTGTTTAAATATATCACCGTTGCACCCTGATGACGAAACTGTGTAACAAAATGGCCACTCCTTGAACTCAAATAGTGTAAAAGTATGTAATACAAGGGTTGTGGACCTGCTATAGGTCACAATTTTCGTCTGATTTTGATGAAACTTTAAATATATATATATATGTTTGTATCACACAGATCTAATTTCCTTTGGATATTCGCACATATCAGACCGTAACTTCCAGGATTATGTTGACTGAGTGTACGAAAAATCACATCTTTAGCTTGTGGATCCTCTAGAGGTCACAATTTTTATCCCATTTTAAAAACCATTTAAAAATATCACTGTTACACCATAATGAAGTTTGAGTTAAAATTTCGGGGACATCGAAATGAAACTGCCCTACGAAATGGTCTCTCCTTGTACACTGTTGTTTAAAAATATGTAATACGAAGGTTGTGGACCCGCTAAAGGTCACAATTTTGGTCCAATTTTGATGAAACTTAAAATATGTCTTTATATTCCAAAGACCTCAGTCCCTTTCGATATATTCTTGCATTTCGGATCATACCTTCCTTGATTATGGCCCCTGATTGTACAAAAAATCACGTTCAAAATGTGGGTGTATCTTGCCTGGCAATTGGTGGTTTATGAAATTTGAAAGTTTATCATTTTAAAAGATCAAAGGGAGATAATTTGAATAATTTGTTTGTCTTTTAACAGGAGGATGTGTTGTTAAAGTTACAGTTATATACTCTGTCAACCAGACATCTAATTGCATTATATATCACACTAACACAGAAGGTAAAGTTGTTAGAAAAGATAACCATGCAAAGAGTGGAAATACGTCCACATTGCATAGGCTAGCTAGGTCTCTAAAAGAAAATTTGAATTTTGACCAAATTTGATAAGAATTATTTATGGCTTCAAGAAATCTGGCCCCGAGTTCACAAAGCATTCTCAGACTTAAGTTGAGAATTTGCTCAACTTTCAATCACTGTTCATGAGAAATATCTTTGATCCAGAAGCACAAAACTTTGCATATAGTTTCTTATTGATATATCTGATGCATTAAAAAAACAAAATTATTATAAAGGGCTATATTTTAGTTAAAATAAGGCGAACAATTTTGAGTAAATTCTAAACTTAAGTCTGAAAATGCTTTGTGAACTCGGGGCCTGATCTTTATCGTGTTCATAAGCTTTTCTCAGCATGTAATATATCTCTGGAAGAGAAGGTCCTAGAATGCTAATAATCCGCCAGAAGTATCCTCTCCGATCCCAATACATCACACCAAATTTGCAACAAAAGTATTTTGAAAAACTAGCCTTTATTGCTACAAGGTTTTCAAAAAGAAGGGGAAACTCTGGAAGGTCCAGGAATGCTGAAAATCAATATGTTCTGTCCTCTTATTACCTGAGTGTTTCACACCAAAACTGTAGCCTCTATATTAACAAGATTTAGAGAAAAGGCTAGGTAACTCCAGAACTGAAGGTCAGGGGTTTATCTTCTCATGACCCCAATGGTTCGCACTAAATTTGAAGCCAATTGTTGATGTACTGATGGACATGGCTGACGACATAATACGCCCACACCACACTGAAAAGCTGATTTAATCATGATGTATATTTTTCATTTGATTTTATACAAATAGGTGATATGAAAAATTCAAAGAGGCTATAGCTTTTCCACAAAGAAATTAAGCATCATTCTTTTAAAGACTGCTTAGAAGCATTTTAAAAAAAAAGGGCATTGTCAAATTTAATACATGTATTCATTCTTTGACTTTATAATAATCTAGTGTCACTATAAAGTCATGCTTCTTGGTTAATAAGATTTCTTTATTTTTCAGACAGATCAGCCTGACTACATAAAGATAGAACCAGCAATGTCTGCTCTCTTATATAAGATATCCTCTAATCTGGAGTCAAAAAATAAATGCTTTAGTGGCCATGTTCTTGTAAATTGGTTGATTCATCACAAATCATTAATACAGAAAATAGGTAATTATATGAAATCTTCTTTCAATTAAAGATGTAATTTCCTTTGACACGAGACAGTTATTAATACTAATTATTGTCCCCCGCCTTTCGAAGAAAGCAGGGGACTATTAAAATGGGTTCGTCCGTCTGTCTGTCTGTCCGTCTGTCTGTCCGTCACACTTTTTGGGACACAATAACTCTCTTCCTAATTGAGCTAGAATGTTCAAACTTGGTGTATGTGTTTATTAGGTCAATGCCTTGATGGAGTTCGAAGATGAGCATTTTCCGCTTAGAGTAAGCAGAGATAATCAATTTGATTGGTTGATGCTTTGGGACACGATAACTCTCTTCCTAATTGGGCTAGAATGTTCAAACTTGGTGTATGTGTTGATTAGGTCAATGCCTTGATGGAGTTCGAAGATGAGCATTTTCCGCTTAGGGTAAGCAGAGATAAGCAATTTGATTAGTTGATGCTTTGGGACACGATAACTTTTAATTGAGCTAGAATGTTCAAACTTGGTGTATGTGTTTATTAGGTCAATGCCTTGATGGAGTTCGGAGATGAGCATTTTCCGCTTAGGGTAAGCAGAGATAAGCAATTTGATTGGTTGATACTTTGGGGCACGATAACTCTCTTCCTAATTGAGCTAGAATGTTCAAACTTGGTGTATGTGTTGATTAGGTCAATGCCTTGATGGAGTTCGAAGATGATCATTTTCCGCTTAGGGTAAGCAGAGATAAGCAATTTGATTGGTTGATGCTTTGGGACACGATAACTTTAGTTCTAATTAAGTGAGATTGATGAAACTTGGTGTATAGTTTCAATACAGTAATACCTTGACTAAGTTTGATAATGAGCATTTTCTGCTCAGGGTAAGCAGAGCGATACGCAATTTGATTGGTCGAGACTTTGGAAAACAATAACTCTCCTACTTTGATTGTCCCCCGCCTTTCGAAGAAAGCAGGGAACTATTAAAATGGGTTCGTCCGTCTGTCTGTTTGTCCGTTCCGCTTATGGTAAGCAGAGATAAACAATTTGATTGGTTGATCTTCGAATTGAGTAAATGTTCATGCTTATTGTCCCCCGCCTTTCGAAGAAAGCAGGGAACTATTAAAATGGGTTCGTCCGTCTGTCTGTTTGTCTGTCTGTTCCGCTTAGGGTAAGCAGAGATAAACAATTTGATTGGTTGATGCTTTGGGACACTATAACTTTAGTTCTAATTAAGTAGATAAACAATTTGATTGGTTGATGCTTTGGGACACTATAACTTTAGTTCTAATTAAGTGAGAGTGATGAAACTTGGTGTATAGTTTCATTACAGTAATACCTTGACTAAGATCGATAATGAGCATTTTCTGCTCAGATTAAGCAGAGCGATAAGCAATTTGATTTGCTGAGACTTTGGAACACAATAACTCTCCTTCGAATTGAGTTAAAATGTTCAAAATTGGTGTGTATGCTTATTGTCCCCCGCCTTTCGAAGAAAGCAGGGGACTATTAAAATGGGTTCGTCCGTCGTCTGTTTGTCTGTCTGTCCGTCACACTCCTTCGAATTGAGTTAAAATGTTCAAAATTGGTGTGTATGCTTATTGTCCCCCGCCTTTCGAAGAAAGCAGGGGACTATTAAAATGGGTTCGTCCGTCTGTCTGTTTGTCTGTCTGTCCGTCACACTTTTTGGGACACAATAACTCTCCTCCCAGTTGAGGTAGAAGGTTCAAACTTGGTGTAGGCCTTTATTAGGTCAATGCCTAGATGGAGTTCGAAGATGAACCTTTTCTGCGCAGGCTAAGCCGACATAAGTCATTTGATTGGTTGATGCTTTGGGACACGATAACTTTAGTTCTAATTAAGTGAGAGTGATCAAACTTGGTTTATAGTTTCATTACATGAATACCTCGATAATGAGCATTTTCTGCATAGGCCGAGATAAGCTATTTGATTGGTTGATGCTTTGGGGCACGATAACTTTAGTTCTAATTAGATGAACCTTTTCTGCGCAGGCTAAGCCGACATAAGTCATTTGATTGGTTGATGCTTTGGGACACGATAACTTTAGTTCTAATTAAGTGAGAGTGATCAAACTTGGTTTATAGTTTCATTACATGAATACCTCGATAATGAGCATTTTCTGCATAGGCCGAGATAAGCTATTTGATTGGTTGATGCTTTGGGGCACGATAACTTTAGTTCTAATTAAGTGAGAGTGATCAAACTTGGTTTATAGTTTCATTACATGAATACCTTGACTAAGTTCTGCCTTGACTAAGTTTTGCATAAGGCTAAGCCAAATAAGCCACCAGGTAGTGCATTTTAGCAGTTGCTTTTTATCCATGGTATAAGTTATGAATAAATAAATACAATGTTGTTTTTTTTTAAAACTCTTTATTTTTCACTGTTCAAATTTTTTATAACAATAATCACATTAGTTATTATTTTGAGGGAGAATGGAAGAAGAAAAGATCATAAAATACAAAAACTATGTCTATTTATATGTGAGCAGTGAGCAAAGAATTGTGTTAAATGGTGATGGGACTTAAGATTTACATTTTTATGGTAATGATGCCCATATGATATGATGATCTGTATATGGTAGTGGGAATGAGCCAGTATTTATATCAGGAATAGATGATATGATAAAATCCAATGTACCACCATGGAAATGAGTTGGAGATGTAATCAATTGTTGTAAATTGTGTTTCAAAAGAATATTGTCAAGTTGTGTTGGATCCATATTAAAATCACCAAGTAGTAGAATATTGTGAGAGTTTTGTTTAATACCACTAACTAATGTATCAAACTGAGTTATAAAGTCAGTAAGATGTTGTGAATGTGATTTGTATATTACAACTAGAATCAATGGCTTATGATTATAGTCTAATTTTATAGTATGGTATTCAATATCAATAATTTCATTAGGAAGGGAATACTCTGTCACCTGTACTTGTTTAGAAATGTAAAAACCAACACCATGAGGTGTAGGTTTACCCAAGAAATTAAAGTTGTCGATTCTATGCAGATGAGACAAATAATTAGCATATGTTTCTGTGACACAAATTATACTTAAGTTAAGAATAGGTTGATCATGTTTCAAGTCTTTTGCATGAAGATTAAGCGATCTAATATTAACATGGCCAATGCTAAGATTATTTGGATTTAACTGACTCAAAGGATGTTTCCATTCAAATAATGATTCTCTGTTCATTCTATTTATTTCGTCAATCATCTTCGTCAATTTTCTCCTCGTGTTTCTTCTCAGGTGTTAATATTGGATTGTACGGAAGACTGGTTTTCTTTATTTTTGTGGGATTTGATTCATCAATGGTTTTTAAGATTTCAAGTTCATCTGGTATTGAGACAGGGCTGACGAGAGGAGTCTGTTCTGAGTGTGTGTCTCTGTTGCTTGCCATACTTTTTTTTTACCTGAATAAAAAAAGAAATATGCATCAGTTTTTCAACACTTGGTCAACATGATTTACACCAAGAATTTCGTTTTCTTTATTTTTGAATAATACTGAACTACTCGTCTAGACACGACAATTTCAATTATTATCGGAGGGGTAATTGTTTGTGATTGTGAAAAATCACGGACTTCGCATATTACAACAGACCTTTAATGTAACAAATATTTTCTCGTTTACTTCTTAAAAATTATAATCTGTGAAAAATACAAATCGCGAGTTCATGTCAGTTTGCTTATATCGCACGTTTACCGCTATTCAATTACAATGCCAATCAATGGCTCATTAAATAAACCACGTGCTTTGTTCGGTTACGATATCGTTCCACTGTTGTAAAATCTTTTCTTCCCCATAAATCGTACATTCCAATAAAATCGTATTCAATATTTAATTTTAACAAACCTTTTCACATATCACAGAAATGTAAAATAATATTCGGGGAAATTTGACCGTTGATATCTAGGAAATACCTGTTAGCAGACACAGCATGTACAAATTGTAGCCTGGGAGTGGGAGCAGTTTATTAATAGATACATTTGGTACCGTAGTTGTGTAACCAAGGTAGCCTATTCTATAAATAGCGATAGAATGAGTGACAAATAGAATGCCGATAAACCATGAAACAAAATATTCTATGTCATAGTATTTGGTTTTGTGCATAAACAGCTTTATACCGAAGACAAAATATTAAAAATAGTAAGTCTACTAAGTGATGACGTCGAGTGAATAATAAAATAAATTAAGCGTCACAAATAGAGTGCGTGCTTTCGCCGTAAAACGGTGTCGTCTGCTAGAAAGACAAAACGTGATTTATCATCACCCAGTTGTGCAAACGAAACGTCTTTATACAAACTTTTCCTTTTTATAAGCTCGTTTATATAGTTTATGCTTTAGTTCTTGAAGAAGCTTTCCAATGTATTACCCCTGTAATTCCTCCTCTTTTATCTGTACAATATTTTCGAAAAAAATGAAACGAAATCCACTTATGTATACATTTAGGTTACATTATAGCCTACATGTCCCGACTCAACTTGCCACATTACATGTCATAATATTATAACCAGGTATTGATAAAAGCATCAATTGAGCAATTCCAATACAATCCAATACAATGAATATAGGCAAGGTAAATAAACAAATAAATGGAAAAAACAAATTGAAAAAGAAACTATTATAAATTAATTAAATATGTAGTATGCAATAATGAATTGACATTTAATGACAGAAAGAAAACAGTGAACTTTGCACAACTTGCAGCAAGATGGAAAATAGACCCGTTGATACAACCAAACTCTAGATCTGTAGGCATAGAGCATGTTTTCCCCTTAATATGCTATAATTATTCCATCAAAAACATTGTATGCTTAGACTATAAGTAAAGATATACTGTTTGATTGTTCAATACTTTGTAAAAGATAATTTGTGATAAATTTATATGTGTCCACTAATTATTTTCCTATTTCGGCGGGGGACATCAGCCTCACTGTTGGCTTGTTCATAAAGATATCTTATAGGATTAATGATGATTTTTAATGAGACAAAATGATGGAAAAGGTTAAAGCAATGTATTTAGCCTGTCACAGCTAGAACACGCCACCTTCGAATCAGTGTTTAAAGCTGATTTTGACAATGACAAATTCTATTATTCCATTAACATGGCAATAAACTCTTTTAGTTTTCATGTTCACTAGAAGAAACATATATCCCAATGAAATTATTATTATCCTTGAAAATATTTTCTTAATCAATGACAACTTCTCAAGAACTGAAATCTGCCCTTGGAGGATGTTTTATGAATGAGTCTGGGTCGGTTAGACTTAAACTACTTCAAATTTTAATTGCTGAAGATTATAAGATCTCTGCCTAAATTCAGATTGTTTAAAAACTTGTATACATGTATATGGAATGGCGGTCTATACGATTCTATGTATCTTATATTTTCTCATGTTCATATTTCTGGTGTCTTTCTGATTTTATTCGTTGTCATTTAATAGAAGAAACCACTATTATTTAACCACTATTGCAGATCCAGTGTACAATGATGGGCCATTTTATAGGGAGAAAGCTGTTGATTTCTGTCAGAAATTATTAAACTTACAAATTCTTATAGATGTTGATGTAGATATAGAAGGTATTGGTATAGTAGTAGTATTATTTACTAACAGTACTCACAGAAGGAATAGTGCAAATCTGATTTTTTAAGATTCTAAATCATAACTCATAGCCCCAATATGCCAGCATAAAGGTTAAATATAGAATTTTAAAGTACTTTTATTAAAAGATAACATTCCATCAATGTTATGACCATTTAAAGTTTGCATTGGTTTCTATTGATTTCACACTCCCAACAAATATAGTTATAATGATTCTGCTATCTTTTTTGTACAGGCCAATCCATTCTTTCTGAAGTTTTTTTTTTCTCTAAATACATGCATATTGTATTCTTACAGATAGAAGTATAACACCAAGTATTTGTTCACTCGAAGGTGTTCACTATCCGGGTGTGACAATATTTTCACAATATCAACATTCATCGTCAGATTTCTTAACTGAAGAGGATGAGAATGAGGACTCTGATACCCCCATTCCTTCACCTGCCAAGTCTCCAGTATCACCAGCTGATAGTAATACCCCCATTGGTTATAGCGATACAAATTTCTATGTTGATGTAGAGATTAATCCTGTTCAGTCACTTAGCAAACTACCAGAAATTGTCTTTGATAAAAACATCAATGACTTTACAGTGACTAAGCATTCAACAAAAGCTGGTAAAATAGAGTCAACAGTTTCTACAGACAATTCTGCAACCAAAGAAGATTTAAGTATATCTTTCAGTAGTATTGAGAAATCTGGAGAAAAATGTCAACCCATTGTAGATGCATATTATCATGAATTTACAAACAGATGTGATAAAATAAAAAACCCAAAAGTTGTTCCAAGTACTGAAAGTTCTTCAAGACATACGATAAAACTTCCATTGCTGCATTCTCGTAATGAAAGTGAGTGTAGTTCACAGCGAACATCTTTTACATCAACGTCTTCAACTGGTAGAGTTGTTCAGTTCTGTGATAAAAAGAACCAATTCTATCGTGTAGCAGAGGCATATGTTTATGGTAATCACCATTTTTCCATGATAGATCCTAATGTGTTTGGTGATAGTTTTAAAGGTAAAATAGACCTGTCAGAAACTCTCAGTTTAGCTGAGCGTTGTTTTCTGAGAAAGATATCACCTGTTACCTTACTGTCTATATTATATATTAGAAGAAAACAAGATACATTAGCTAAAAGCGTAATAAAACAATTGCCAGAACATATTGTGGATGAGATTAAAAACTATCTTGATATACCTTCGAATTCTTGTATAAGTAGTTAAATATATATAAGGCCCTCAAAGTTACTTACATTGACAGATTTCAACTTTTCTAAATGAACAATTATTTGACAATAGATTTCAGTGCTGTCTAATTTCTATGTCTGTCCTAAAATATTGTCTACATATATCTGTTAAGTTAATTGATGTCATCAAACGATTTCATCCTTGTAGATGGTGCCCACAAAACATGTAGTTACTTTCCTGAGGAGAGTCTGACTTGTTCAGTTGTAAATTTAACCTACCTTCCAATTGGGACCAAGAAACATTGAATTTCAGTAAAAAATTGTGGAGTGTTTAAACTTTCAGCCACACAAATGCAATAGATTTGTATATTTTAAGTTTATATACACCCACCAGTTGTTACCATTGGTCATTCCTATCGAAATTGTGTAATTGCTCAGAATTTTGGTTTTTAATGAACATGCTGGGATTGTATAACTATCCATAAGGATGAACCCTATCAAAAATTATACTGATGCAGCGTTTATGAGCGCATTGATTGCTTTTATCATCAATAGCTTGTAATCGCTCTAGAGGTCATATTTTATATTTATGTCCTGTTGTTTCTATCTGTGGTAGATAATAACTTGTACAACTTTATGATGCTATTATTTATTCTTTATACCGGTATATGTGTATTATCAGTTCTGTGATTTTTTTTGATAACTAATCTCTTTTAAACAATTGAAGTTTTTGTTCCATGTTTTAAATTTATTAAATTAATTACAAATATTATTTATTTACATATCGTACATGATTTTTATGTATTTTATAGCAATAATATAGTCTACATAGTAAACCTTATAATTGACTAAGTAATTGCTAAGATACAGAGTGAATAATCAATTTTCAAATTGCTGTATACACTTCCACGTGTCATAGTTATGAAGACATAATTTACTGACAGCTTGATTACGACATGTTAAGGCTGACCTCATTGTATCATACATTGGGGGTTAATTTGAGTCGTCTACTTTCTTAATGATTTAGCTTGCTTAAACTATTTAAGAATAGAAAACTATAGCTTAACTGTCATCAGTTTAAGTGGCAACATTGTTGGTGCAGTTTCATTGTTTTGAGTACCCTGTTCTTAAGTTTGATACTTAGGAAATGATTCAAAGCACTTAAGAGATGGCCGAGGTTTTGTGATGGCTATAAGTATAAGTGGCTTTGATTTCTGGTTATATTTTGTCTTGTAAAGCTGTATTCCTTTGATATTTTTACGAATGATGATAATTACTTTTTGAGTTGAGATAATTAAATAACCTAATTAAATAATCTAACTTTGTACATTATGATAGATTTAAGGTCTGTTCTAGCAACACTAGTGATATTGAAAATTGAATTATAGACAATCTAAAAGGGTTTAAAGAAGCTGGTTATCACCAATTTGTCACCTTGAATCCCATAACTATGGTGATATTAGTGATAATTATTCAGGAGAAAGTAGCATAGCTTGTGTATCAAGGGAATACAGCTTATTTATTAAACAAGCATTTTTTAGAAAATTTAATTTTATATGTTTTAATTTTGATTTTTTTTTTTTTTATAATAAACATTTATGAGCATATTGATCAGTAAATCAAATATCAATCATTCAAATCAACACAAAATTTGTTTCCTGCTAATAATAGTTTAGATATAAAGTAGCATTATTATTTCTGTGGATTCTTTTATTCTTCATATAATATAATAGATGTTTTCAATGGTGATTTGATGATGTCCAGACGTTTTGATTCTTTTATGTCCAAGGTAAAGAATTCTAAATAAAAGGTGTTGAAAAGTGAAAAGATTGTTTTGTCTGTAGGAATTTGATAGCATAAATAATTAATAATGACTTGATTCATATGGCGTAAGTACATCTTAGATATATTGTGGTGCTTGATTATTGAGTGCTTTGAAAGTAAGTAGTAGAATTAATATCTGAATCGTTTCCAAACTGATTATCATTAATTAATTTTTAGAGACATACTATGCTACATTATATTAATATACTTATATTGACCAAGAACAAAACACATTTTGGTAAATATGTGAAATATGTTTTGCAATTGTCCCCCGCCTTTCAAAGAAAGCAGGGGACTATTAAAATGGGTTCATCCGTCCATCTGTCTGTCCTTCTAATTGAGCTAGAATGTTTAAATTTGGTGTAGGTGTTTATTAGGTCGATGCCTTCATGCCTTGATAGAGTTCGAAGATGAGCGTTTACTGCTTAGGGTAAGCAGAGATAAGCAATTTGATTGGTTGATGCTTTGGGACGATATAACTTTAGTTCTAATTAAGTGAGAGTGATCAAACTTGGTGTATAGTTTCATTACATCAGTACCTTGACTAAGTTTGATAATGAACATTTTCTGCTCAGTGTAAGCAGAGGGATAAGAAATTTTATTGGTCAAGACTTTGAAACACAATAACTCTCCTTCTAATTGAGGTAGAAGAATGTTCAAACTTGGTGTAGGCGTTCATTAGGTGAATGCTGTGATGGAGTGCGATGATGAACATTGTCTGCTTACTGTAAACAGAGATAAGCAATTTGATTGGTTGATGTTTTTGGGTACGATAACTTTGATTATACTTTAGTGAGAGCGTAGGTGTTTATTAGGTCAATGCTTTGATGGAGTTTGAACATGAGCGTTTTCTGCTCAGGGTAAGCAGAGATAAGCAATTTGATTGGTTAATTCTTTGGGACACGAAAACTTTAGTTCTAATTAAGTGAGAGTGATGAAACTTGATGTATAGTTTCATCACATCAATAACTTGACTAAGTTTGATAATGAACATGTTCTGCTGAGGGTAAGCAGATCGATAAGCAATTTGATTGGTTGAGACTTTGAAACACAATAACTCTCCTTCTAATTGAGGTAGAAGAATGTTCAAACTTGGTGTAGGCTTCATTAGGTGAATGCTGTGATGGGGCTTGTTCTTGCTTAATTTAGATTTTGTGATAAGTGTTGTCATTCATTCTTGTGTTCACTTTTGCATTTCCCTATTAATGTGAACATGAAATTTGTTTTAATTGCTTTCAGTCTGAGCCATCATTCAAAATATTGTATTTCACCAAAACATGATTTTCTGCATTCTGCACAGAACTTAATGGGTTCAGTCATGGACCTTATAATACATTGTCCATGGTTCAGTCTAGCTCGATCATCCCATCACCTTTATCATTCCCAGAATAGCAGAGCAACCTTCTGGAATTGTGACCAAAACAGTCTCAGTTTAACACTGTGGCCCCTCTATTACATTCTCAGTTTTCAACAAAGGGGGTAACACTAGAAAGGAAAGTCTCCGAATACCAATAATCAATATTCTTGGCAGACAGATGGATGAACTGAGAATGGAAAGGTTTCATGCTCTCATATTCCCAATTCAAGTATCACATTAGAAAAATAAGATGTGCGGAAACTGAAGGTGAGGTTTAAAAGCAAAAGTACATAATAATTTAGTATTTTGAAAAATTTGTAACTAATTTTGAAGGTTATCCCAGACATTATTAGAACAAGCTTTGAAATAGTGAGATTAATATTAAATGGGGACAACTTGGCCGATTATAATATATTCGCCTAGTGTTTCCGCTTCCTTCCTTCGGGCGATTGTAGATTTTATTAGCCAATCTCCACTGATGTCAAGAAGTCATTGTTTGAAGACACGGTCTCTGCCTTGTTTAATCATGTGAGATGCAATCGTCTAGTGTGTCCACTGCTTTATTGTCTAGGGTAGGAACCACAGGGAGATGAGGTTAGTGGTATAAGTTCACTATGGGTGTTTGCCATTTAGCATCCACTTGCAATAAAATGTAAGATTATATTGTAAATAACAATTATTTAGTTCTATAATCAAGCATGAAAATTTTATATGCTGTTAAAACAGTGACAACATTTGAAGTTAAATAAGTGGGTCAATTAGTTACAAATTTTTCAAAATATTAATTATTATCAAGTATTTTTGCTTTTAAACCTGACCTTTGTCAGTTTCAGCACATCTTCTTTTCTCTAAATTTATCCAGTTATTAACCACAATACACAAAAAATAAAACCTGATATAGATTATTTTTTATGGGAGCCTAATATACTGTGTACTAATCAAGTATATTATATTTTCCTCCAATATATTTTTATATAATTGTTGTATGTATTAATATTTATTATTGTTATTTATTTAAAAAAAAAAAAAATGAGTATGAATAAAAAACTTTTAATCAATATTGTATTTCTTTTATTTGTATAGTACACAGTTACTGTTTAATGATTTTACAGTTGAACAATAATAAAAACAAATGTCTATATAAATATAAAAATCCGAAGTTACCTTTTTATATATCACAGAGAATGGACAGCAATATTAATATTGTTAAAATATAATTACTTTTCATGCAAATTGAACCATTTAAATTGTGTTAATCATCTTGAAATTGCTTCAACTTGTTTATTTGATGTTTTTGGCTTGATTCATCTTGATAGACAAAGATGGTTCCTTGGTTGGCATCATAGATCCATATTTCTCCAAATGTTTTTTCTTTGCCTAAATATAAAAGGGTAGACAATTTAGTAGGATATATTGTCTTACTTCAAGTACCAAAGTTACCCCCGTGAATGCAATAGAGGCTATAGCTTTTAACAGATTGTCAAATTTGTAGCGAGGCATTGGGTTAATTTGCTAAAAAACTTGTGAGTGCTTTATTGTTAATGGATTATTTTTATATGTGGGTAATGGCGAAGCATTGGGGGTATCGATGTTTAGCATTCTTCGAACGTTTTCCAATCTGTTTTCCCGACTGCTGTCAAAATTGCAAGTAATTGGGTGCCAGATAGAGAAATCGCCATTTTATGTACATGGAAATGACGGTACCCTCACATTTCGCCTACGTCCCATTTCGACTACAGCTTATAACAACAGATTATATGGTCTGGTGGTTTTATTATCCCTATTTATATACCCTTTCTATAGCTAAAATAGATTCTTCCATAAAACATCCCATTTAGGCTACAGCATATAATAGATTGCATCAAATGAAAAATTATAGACAAATATTTCTACTTCCAAATTCCCGAATTTGAAAATAAACACAATATTTGTTATAAAGGAATTCTAATAAGATAACAAAACTATTGACTAAATGATAGTGAACTTGTCGAATAGATGTACAAAATTTGAAACAATTCATCTTATATCGATAAGCAAGTATTAAACTCAATGTAATCTCCAAATATTACAAATATTTATCAAAACAAAAATGTATTCTTGAGTTGGTATTTTTGCTTTGGTGTTAAAACAAGCTATAATATATAATAATAAGCCATTTTAGCAATAATCATTAGATTAATTACATCTCTTAATCAGTGGAACAGTTCAATGCTGTGAAATATAGCCATATCGGCTAGTTAATTATGTCTACCGTATTTTTTTTCAAGAGTTGACTTTTTAGTCCGACAATATTGTACAAAAGGACATATAAAACAATTTTCAACATTACTCTAACTTTGTCTTGATAAGAATACCTGTCAATAAAATTCGACATTAGAATTATCTAATTGTTCAGCCCAAATACTGGTAGGCCTATATTTTATAAGCCCACATGATAGTGGTCACCTCGGTCTATAGTCAACAATTCCTCGTCAACGCAACAGAACAGAATTTTTCAAATTTTGCTTGAAGAGTTGGGAGCCATGAAAGGAAGGACCCTGTCGATTTTCAGTTATCTCCCTTTTTCCCAAAACCTTATTAACGCGATGTGGGTTATAGTTTTTAACAGATTTGTTTTAGATTCGGTGTGAAGCATAAGGACTATCAGAGGACGATAGAGGCTACAGTTTTAAACATTTTTTTTGTAAAATCTGGTTTGAAGACTTGAGGTGGTGTGAGGACGAACCCTATCGATATTCAGCGGTGTGAGACCTGTTCCAGACTTACCACCCCCTTCTCAGAAAACCTTGTTACCACGATAGCGGCTACAGTATTTCATGTTTCTTCCCCAACGCGCAAGTGAATTATTGAAATAAAATTGAACCATGTTTTAATCCCGAATTGACGGAGTTACTTCCCCCTTCTTCGAAAACCCTGTTAACCCGATAGATCGACTTCAGATTTTAACAGGGGCAAGGCAAGTTCTACTTCCCTAGTCCAGTTCCTGTCTGCAATAACACTATTGTGGATGCAGATGTAAAGCCAGCTACTAAATGAAATGAAATGGGGTTTAACGTCCTACTCCGACTGGGCTAATGAAGACGGCCATACGCCACACCGTGTGCTATGAATGAGGGAATTTTTTCTCGGGCAGGGAGAGGGGGGGGGGGGCGAATGGTTAGCACGTGTGCGCTGTATCATAAGGTCATTACTCAAGAACTAAAATTTTAAATGGAAAATTTTATAAGGTCTTGGAGGTTTAAATACTTGGAGATTTAATTTTACTTTCTCCGACACTATCCAAATCCACATTCACATGGCATCAGGGCTGGATTAACCATTAAGCATCATGGAAATGGGGGCACAACAGAATGTCTGCTTTGTTAGATGCTAATTTAAAATATTTAATTCAAAAAATTTCATTGTTCTTGTCTTTTCTTAATAATCATGTGCATAAAACCCCAGAAAAACTCGTACCAGGTGTTTTTCGTTTATCGGGTCTCTATATCTTAATCCGACCCTGCATTGGATGTGTATTATACGCATTGGATGTGTATTCATTTTCGATGTGGGGCATTCCTAACGTTTTGCCTACCCTTTTCCAATGATTATATGGATGACGATAATAAACGTCCACAAATAATGTGGGTGCATCACCTATAAAAATCATTTGCTGCTTTTGTATACTACGATACATGATCCACATACATGTAACGAGCAAATAAAAATTTAATAATCTAATAATGATACATCTAATAAAAGTTGTAATTATACCTGATATAGTCTATCTTTTTGTTTCATTAAACGTCGTCTTCTATAGGCCTACAAATAAGGATGTTATAATCAACTGAATTATGCGTAATCTTTTTTTTAAATATCCCTCTAATATGTAAATCTACAATGCATGTATATGTACGCGTCATCAATGATTAAGCACTTCATAATCTCTTTAACGCTATCTCGAAGCCGCTCTTTATGAGTCCTTAAAAGCACAGAAAACGTGTATGTGTAGGCGTCATCAAAGATTAAGCACTTCCTAATCTCCATAACGCTATTTCGAAGCTGCTCTTTATGCGGCCTTAAAGCACAGAAAACCATTTGATTTTCCAAACAACCACATTTTTGAAGGTTCAACAAAAGATATACTTCACCCCCAAATCGGTTTTAAGTTCCAACGGCTCCACCCTGCCATTTACGACAAACAAGTTCCAAACTAGCACCACCGGAACTAACCTCGAGTTATGAATAAATCTGAATCTAGACTCATGGCCCGTGGGTATTATTTATATAACATAATCAGTTTAGAGCACATTTATTCCAACAACGATGTGTTACCCTGTCGTGTTTAAAGTCATAACACCGGGTCTTGCTATCAACCAACAGGTTGAACGATATTGTTGATCTAATAAGTACATATAGTAACACTGAAAAAGACCGATTGCTCCCAAGACTGTCCAGTCCGTTAATACTTGAAAAGGTGTTTCAATTATGGATAAATAAATCTGACTATAGATTTATTTGTCGTGTGACTTACCGTTAAATAAATATGAATCATAAACATGATGTGAAACAGGAATAGAACAATGGCCAAAGAAACAATGGCATACCGGTCCCATTCATAAACTTCTGTTTTAGACATTATTTTACACAGACCCGCCATCACGGCATTCTCTGCGATTTGTAGGCCCAAAAATACCAAAGTTGCCAGTACGTATATATCCTGCAAAAAAAAATACTTATATGTATTTTAGTTTTGATTTCAGTCTTCATGGAGCCAATTGTTTCAGGAGACAGGCAAACAGACTGAATATGATTCTTGCCATCATTTGTGCAGAAAAGTTGAACGTTAACCTTAATTTTATTTCTGATATATTATATGCTTCTGTCTTATGCTCGGACGTATAAACATGTAATGGGATGTGTTCAAACAAAGTAAAATTTCGACAGAACACTGTCCGCAAGAAGTAATAGTGCATCAACAAATCAGTCTTGTTAAATAACAAAAGGTGGCCATTGATCTTATTAGATTATACAAAAATTATACTATTGACAAGATGTATCATCACTGTCTGCTCCCCCCAAAAGATGATTACTTTCTTCCATAAAGATTGATTAATATTGATATATAGAAAGAAATTAAATTAGCAGGTTGTACAAGGAAGAGATGCTTTATACATGATTGCACTTTTATAATTTATTATATTGATTTTAGATAATAAAAAGACGATCCAATAATTTCCAATAAGCACCGTTAGCTTACTACTACGATTACATGAGATCAGATTTATAGGTAGGATGGTATATAAATATAGCATATCTTCTATCACTGGTATCAGTTGACCGCAATGTATTGATTCCAAAGAAAAATATACGTATTGCAATAAATCGTAAATATTTATTAGAAAATAAGCCTTAAGGGATTGAATTATATAAACCAGATTTTAACCAGACATTTTCAAATAGAGATATGAATGAATATTAAAAAGCCGTTATCACTCTTATCAGTAAACATAAATGGCGCTAATTTTAAATATTATCACATTCAAAATAACCTTAGACTCACCTTATTTTCCCAGCAATGACCTACCTTCTCTTTGGGCCCCGTACATGGAAAGTTTAAACCTCTCTATATATATTAATTGCGAATTGGCAGTATTAAGTTTGTATACAATGTAATTTGAACATCCCCATGTAAATGCATTGTTAGATCATACGGAATCGAAAATTAAATTGTTCTTGGTAAGCTATATATAAATGATGTGATGGTCAGTCATGTCTTCCCTTTAAATATAAAATAATCGTATAATAGATTTTTTTTAATTTAGTGTTTAACTATAAAGACAAAACGTTGTTAAACCAACCATTACACATTAGACATAGCTTACCAAGCAAAATAATGTTTTTAAATGGGAAGACATAAAACGTGCGAACTGTACCACCACAACCAATTTAAAACCCAACTTCTTTCTTATCTGAAGCTATCTATTTGAAAAATTGGTCGAATGACTACGTAATGGATTTTTTTAAAAGACGAAAAACTAAGCCAAAACGTGTGATTTCAGAATAAACGAGTCACCTAAGTTTAGATTTATGTTAAAAAGAAGCAATAATCCATTCGTTTAAAAACAGATTTAAGTTCAGGCTGAGCATGGAATTAATCTACAAAATGAAAAGAAGTCACGTTGCATAAACCGATGTTTGTGAATTCAAATATCTAGAAAAAACAGATTAACTGCTTACGATTTGCAATTATTTAATACCCGACTGAAAGTGATTTTGAATTTCTGCGACTTTTTATCTCGTTAATTGTCGGATACACATTAACATTTAATTGAAAATTTTAGGAAACAGATTCCCAATACTTGGGTGCCAAATGATGCGTTCGCCTGAATTAGGTAGCTCATTATGACACCTCAAATTGACTTTGAAATAATATCGCCGCGTCGTTCACATTAGGCATGCAACTTCAAAGATTTACTATATAATTTGCGATAGACAAGAATCAATACATCCAGGTGATTGCGGAAATGTTTGGCTCTATGATTTACGCTTAAGGCAGTTTTTCCACTCGGAATAAAGTTCCAGATATGCCCGGCGCCTTTTAATCAACTGAAGCGTTTGGCACAATAAAAGTGTTAATGGGTTGTCGACCATTACCAGTGTAAATTATATTATAAGCTTTAGATTATTACAAGCTCTGAGACAATGCAATGGGCTGAAGAGCAATTAGACTTTGACCAATTTATTCCGAAATCAATAATTAGGAAGATCAAATGTTTCAATTTTCTTTTTACGACCGCTGTTATAGAATTTTATAGTCGTACAGCAACTGTACAAATTTGCAGTTCGGCAAATTACCTGCGCTTTTTATATTAGAAATAAATAGTTTCTACAGGAAAAAAAAGAAGTTGATGTTTTTTAATTCTATAGCTTACCAAGTATGTTAGATAGGATATGGTAGGCAGACTTTGTTTAACAACCAATTTAAAGGCGACGGAGGTAAGAAATAGAGTGATGGTGACCGACATTCTATCAGCATTGAATGGATCTATAGGTAACGTCGTAAACGTTAAGGCGATAATCAAAAGCTGAAAGAATGAAAAGCATGAGAAAATTAGAATATTACCAAATAGGTCAGGTATGATATTGTGGGCAAGGATTGTTGTATAACCATTTTAAAAATAGAGGCCGTTAACAGCAACGTCACATTATTAAACATGCGATCCACATTCTCTGGTTCTAACGTTACCATACTAAACGTGAGACAGGTTATCAAGGCCTGTAAAATATATATAAAAATGTAATAATATATCAATACATATATTTGTACATTAAGCTAATGTTTTAAGCCAAAGGGATTTTGTTCCTTTATGAAGGGGGCCATCCATCTGTTTCTTTATTCTAACACATCACGATAGATAATAATGGCAGCTACTAGAATCCATCTTTACAAAATGCTAAAAAAACCCGTTCAGACTCTATTATTAAAATATAGATATTGAAGCGCCACAGAGCAGTATTACATATTATATAGGATCAGATATTTTAAAAATATCAAACATTATAGAGACGAAAATGGATTTTAATTATATGAAATCAACATAAAGTAAGAGATCAGATATGGATGCATTAAACTTTTGCCAATTTAATGGAATTATGTGACGGATGTTGACATCATAATAACCCCAATCAGCTGTATTGTTCCTTATAGAGACATATTTACCAGAAAATTATTTTTTTTTTATTCAGCTAAGGTTTTTTATTAATAGCCATATTGTCGACACCATAACTCTTTATATCTGCCTTTGTTAAATGACTTAAAAATGTGCACAGTTTCTTATTTTAAAAGGTGGCACAAAAAAATTCATTAATTATATAACATTATGTAAGGTTTAGCTAAAAAGCTGACAGTTCTCTCTATAATAGTTAAAAAAAAATAAATAATGAAAAAAAAAAATAACGCGATTTTTCGTACAATCACTGGCCATAATCAATGCGCGAATATCGAAAGGAACCGAGTTCTTTGAGATATAAACATATATTTTAAGTTTCATCAAAATCGGACAAAAATTGTGACCTCTAGAGGGTGCGCAACCTTGGTATATAACACACTTTTACACTATTTGCGTAAAAGGAGCGGCCATTTTGTCGGACAGTTTCGAACTCAACCATCATTATGGTGCAAAAATTGTGATGTGATGTAATTAAACAAAACCAATGTGTTTCAGCTGCCCCCCACCTCGCCACAAATCAAAGCAGTTGTCCAGTTCTTTTTAAGAGATGGACAGTCCTAGAAATTTATGTTTTATTAATAATAATATATAACATAATGACATTTCCCCCCAATTGTAGATATAGGTTAAAACATATAGCCTTTATCGCTTCTGAAGTGTCGACAAACTTTGCACGTATTTCACATTCTGCTTAAAAGGTAGGAGCATAACTTCAGAATGGAATTTCCGATGAGCACCAAATTCGAATTCATCCACGATCTTTTGATCCTTAACATATATTGTAAATTTTACAAAATTGGTATCACATGCTTTGCAGCTATTTTCGTAAAGTGGAGAGACCATGTTTACGTCCGTAATTACACGGTGTACATTTAAACGCTTTTTAAAATCAAACGAAATTGTGACTTCTTGAGAGTCCACAAGCTAAAACGTGATTTTTCGTACAATCAGGGGCATTAATGCAGGTGCCAAAATCGAACTCATCCCATATCTCTGGGATATTAACTTTTCAGTTTCATCAAAATCGGATAAAAATTGTGACATAAGCAAATATCGAACTCGTCCGAGATCTTTCGGATATAAACATATATTTTAAGATTCATTAAAATCGGATAAAAATTGTGACCTGTCTTGGGTACCAACAACCAACTTGTGAATGGACGGACAGGGTTAACGAAATAATGTGTCTTCATGCAAATGTGGGTGTATGAAAAACAACTGACTCTTTATTTAATTATTTAAGTAAGGTAATATATTTAAAGGTCAAAGATAATGGTCAATGGTTAAATGGCTACAAAACGTACCACAATGAAGACAATATTCCACATAAAATAGCCGATCTTTCTCTTAACTCGACATTGTATGAATAAAATAGGGTGAATGGTTGAGCTGACATATTCCTGGGTTGTCTGATCTCTAAAAGTCTCCACATGTTCGTAAATGCTCCATTCTTGAGCATCCTGAAATGTCTTGATATTGACAGTGCAAAGAGAATGTTGGTCCTCTATCAATTCTACTTCAGACGCAGATCTTTCAGTAGTTACCTGTACGGTCAAATCCTACAATCAAAGTAAAATTCCATTTTTTCATTTGATCAAAGGAAACAATGATTTTTTTTTCGCACTGTAATCGTCTTCAATTAGGTTTACAGCTTGGTCCAAATGCTTATCTTGTTTAGTGGCTATAGCCTTATAGGTAGGGCCTTCTTTGGGCATTCTTGTAACTACAAACTTGACCATACTTTATCAACCTTATTGTTACAGCCTCTTTTATGTCTTTTTGCTGAACACCATAACATAACAAATTCTTAGTAGTATTTATATTAATTATAATGAGACATCTTATAAAATCGATAAAAATCGTTATACACAACCTGAACATCAAATGGAAAATGTTCCAACTCAAGATTCTCACGGAACTTTCCCTTAAAGCGCCATAACAATAGAACGATAGGATATGTATATCCTGGTTCTTTTAACTGAACAGTAAAGCTTCTTCTGTTCCATTCCAATTCACCATCAGTATTCATTATAGATAATTTAGGAATCCAGTAATCGGCTGGGTTGTAATTTTGCATATCCTGTCAAATTAAAAAAATGGAATTGTATAGGGGTTTAACGTCCCATCAAGTTTTAAAAAAAAGAAAAAAAAAAGAAATTGATTTAATATTTCTTCCTCACCAAACAAACCCTACACACTTTCGTACACTTCGCTGTTATAAAGTATGTAATCCCGAGATAATCTCTCTGGTCCATATTTTAATTGCACTGATTTTGTGTAAATAATACTAATTCTGTTTGTTTTGGTTAATTTTCTGTATTAGTATCTGACATACATTTATTGACTTTGTTTCACTGACCATCACCAACAATTATATATAGTCCATTGGTGAGCACACCTTTGTAACTTTTGTCCCATCCGTACCGTTTACTTTAAAGTAATGGTTAAATCAAAAGCGTCACATCAAGGGCATTATAAGAGGTTTCTTCAATCAAAAAGTGTCTTCCCAAATAAAATGTTATCTGCCCTTTTAATAATAGACAGTAATAACTGAGTAATATAAGCGCTCTCTTTTTTTATTTTTTGTATCTAGACCTCAAATTGAACTGACCGTTTCTGTAAAATCTTTTAGGGCTGGTTCCATCCACCTTGCTTGTATAAATATTTCAGCTTCAAAGATTTGATCTAGTGTTTCTATGTCAATTATTTTTAAAAATGCACATTTTAATTCTACTGTAACCTGGAACACAAACAGTTAAAAAACAGATCACCAGTTATTGTTCGAATTTCTATACCAGAATATCACGGCTTTGAATCCGATTTTTCATGCGCTTTTGTGACAGACAGCAATGTCTATGTTACAGGGTTAGCCAAAAAGCCTGAGGTTCTGTCTACAATTTGGTAGTGTAGGGGAGAGTGGGCACCAATGGGCATATGGAACTGATGTATCAGACATGTGAATGGCAAAATCGAATTCTATCGACCTTCATTATATGTAAAATGTAACCTTGACCTAGCCTAGAATACATTGCTGATTTGCCTAGAGTGCTATCAACACATTGCCTTACAGCCTCACAGTATATTTAACCATTGTAAAAGTATTTTTTTCATATTTTGCAATATTTTTCATGTCCCAAAGTAATTAAGTGTCACCAAGATGTGCTCTACACCAACACGTATGCATAGTAGTAGTTATCTAAGCTTTGCACTTAAAATCAAATGCCACAGTGATTAACTCTACTGTTAATAAAGCTAAATATATATTTAAACGCTGTGGGGACCGATAGACCACCTGCAGGTCGGCATGGCCCATAGGTCCTAGTCATGGTTTTTTTTTTATGAAAATTGTGCATATGATAGGTTTCTAATTTATAATCTAATTTTATAATGTCAAAAAACAGAAAGAAAACAACAGACAGGGGAATCTTTGATGCCGAAACAGTTCGATAGGCTGTGTAATTTTTATGAACAAATCTCTACATAGTACCCACAAGGTTGGACAGGCGACCCTACTTGTCACGTATAAGTCATTAAGTTGGGAATCGAGACACGCTACTTGACTCAATGACAGATCTTAATTCTTATGGATCTAACGCGCATGTTTTAACCATTTGCACACCTCTCCCCCCTTAGCCCCCCCCCCCCCCCCCCCCGCCCCTGATGTATTATCAAGAATGGTGATAAAAATGGTGGCTTTTGAGCCAAAAAGCACACCATCTTTCATCGAGACAATGGTTGAAGATACGGACTATGTAGTAACACGTTCAAATATATATATATATATATATATATATAGTAGCCATGCATTCGGAACCAATATAAATAACTACTACAAAAAGACTACAATTCGCTTTGATGTTTCCATTGATGACTATGATATTGAATAGGCCGGAGATTATGATCTTTCTTCAGCAAAAATGTGTCAAAATTATATTTTTTTATCTATTCCTTAATTAAATTAAGTGAAGGCTCTTAAATGTTTGTATATCTTTTTGCAACCATTGAACCGTCTATTGGTCCCCATGATGGACCATCATGAGTGATATCTGAAAAATAGTTATATTTCCACTTTTCTTAAAGGTATAGCATTGAAACTCTGTATGTTTATAGGTTAGTATCTGATGAATGAAGTAGCCAAGATTAGTTATCCTCGTTGATTTGTAACTAAAGTTATTTGTAAAATAAAAAAAATCGGCCCGTCGGCCACTCCCCCCTACCTAAAATATCCTTTGGTAGTTGCAATTCGAAGGGGACGACCATTCGGAAACATTGCCCATTGCCCCCAGAAGAAAATTTACATCCTCGCATTGCAACAACAAATTTCTATATAAATTATAATGTAAGTCGCAAAAAGACTCAGTAACTGAGTAAGTAAAGTGACGAGACGTTAAAAAAAGAATCCACTTCATCATAATTTATATGATTTGAAGCAGAGGTTCGGTGAAGCCCAGGAACCAACTCCTTGACTGGATTAACTATTTTTTTTAATTTAGTCTCTATGTAAAAACAGACGGAATCCCAATTTATATTTCCTGAGTTATCTTAGTATGTGGGTTCGGGTCTGATAATCAAGTCACCACCAAGAATAAATGCTCGTGGAGGACAGGTGGGCTCCGTCGCGACCAACCGCAATTTTTTCCAATTGGAGAACTAGAGAGTACTTAATCAGTTGTTTACAAGCTGAACCACGGTTGATCTGAACTGAACGTAAATAAATCCGCTCGGTAGATCTACTCTATGTGTATTATTTTCCCATATACACAGAAACTACAGTACAACAAGAAGTACAAAACCAGAACAAACAAAAAACCCAACCCTACACTGGTCACACACCTTGTCTTTTCTATCTCCTAAATATTGATTCGATGGGGGTTTGTCCGAATTAATTCTATCAGACAAAGACACAACCGCATTGGCACAGCCTTCCATAATGACGTTACTTCTGTCTAAAGCAGTAATGAGATGACGGAAGGTGTCAGCTAAACGTGGGTCTCGTCCTGGAAGGGGGCTTATCGGAGTACTCGAACCCGTTTGTTCTATGACTGTTCGAGTACTAGTACTAGGCACTGGTGTCGGCATAAGTGTCCCTGAAGCCATAGTCTTATGAGTATCGTGATGATCTTCGTGCACTTTAGTTTTACTAGATTTTGTGGCTTGCGTAAGATATGGAATCATGATGAAGAAATTTAGCGAGAAATACACCCTTGGCTTTGAAACGTCGCCATTCTTCGAAGCAGACGAAATGAAAACTTTGCTAAGGGGAATAACTTCGCATACTAAAAAGGATTCAGACCACAATAGAATACGTGTACATGTATAGACGTTTTAAAATAATATATTTCTTGAAAAAAAAAACCCCAACAAAATAAAAAACAAACAAAAAAATAAAATACAAAAACAAAACAAAACGGCCTTTAACTGTGTTGCATTGATCCAAATAATGCTGATTTTAATATATTTAGTTCATCCGTATCAGAAAATATTAGTATAATAGGGATTGAGCTGAATAAATGTTAATTTTGCGATTATCAGACATGTTTGGATTAATCCGTTTTCATGGGGATTTATTTTGGGGAATTTTGATCACAATTTCAATGTCCATACCAGAAAAGAATTATGTGCTTAAATTTTATACGCAATACGTAACACTGGAAACATATCTAAAAAATGCTTCTGCAATAGGACAAATTGTGTTAATAGAGGTTACGGTATAAAGGCACATAACATCGACAAATAAACATATCACATAAAAAAAAATGAAAGATGTAAATATAAATAAAATCCATTACTATACTATCAAACAAATTATCACGATAACATTAGGATGTGGATAACTATGTAATGTCAATCTCTATTTTAAAAAATCTTATTTTGCAGTAAGTTTTAATAAATTAATGTAGGCCTAAAATACGTGCTCTGAAAATCCTGTAGGCAATTAACTTAACAAAATATACATTATTCGCCTTGAAGCGAGGGTAGATGTACAATAATAGAGACTTTTGGCAAGCGGATTTTTCCCATCCGTATCCCGTATCCATATCGTATACGTGATACGTTGCGTCAATGTAGTTTTAGAGTTTTGGCAGATTTTAGCAATTTTTGGTTTCACTAGTGTATTATTTCAGAAAGTAGAGCCCATAGATCAACCAGTATGCAGACAGGCGGGAAAAATATGAAAATTTCGAGAAAAACCCATCAAAAATGATGATTAAATTCCAGTCGTTATCACTGTAAAATCACATCAAATATACACCTTCGTGTTCTAGGATACACACAGATTCATAAAAACGCTATGATGCAACTTCTCAGCGTCTAAAAGTAGCAAAAAAGACGGGATAAAGACGACAGTGTTATACGGACCATTTCCGTATGAAAGCCGTTCCATACGTGCTGCCGTATCCGTGTGCCGTATCACGTATGAGAAATACACAGACATTGATGACGTCACACGCAAAATCCATACGGATACGCGATACGGACCAGGAAATTACGCTTACCAAAAGTCTCTAGTATGATTAAATTGTGGAACGATTCTGTTTTCAAAATATGCGTCGGTGAGAAAGAAAACAAAACTTGGGAAAATAGAACGATTCGGAAACAAATATACTGCTAAAATCTGTAATTTTATTTTACTTTATCAAAAGGTTATTTATTTTTTATGATTTCCGGAAATTTGTATTTTTACACGAAGTTTGTCAGATTGAGATTACCATTAATAGAATTTAATAAGATCATTGTGAAACGCAATTCCGTTCCCTGATCTATAGGCCTATATATAGCCTGTAGACCCATAACCTATATTTGTCTGCGATATCACCTCGGTGGAAGCGGGCGTTAAATAAAGGTATTTCACACATATGACCTATAAACCGTGCTTGTCCAAATCTTCTGAGTAATCCAAGGCAAGTACGACGGGATTTGTCCTGCCTTTACTTACTTGGTTTGGGTGGCCGAATGGTCAACTCGTGTTATTTATTTTTTATGATTTACGGAAATTTGTATTTTTACACGAAGTTTGTCAGATTGAGATTACCATTAATAGAATTTAATAAGATCATTGTGAAACCCAATTCCGTTCCCTGATCTATAGGCCTATATATAGCCTGTAGACCTATAACCTATATTTGTCTGCGATATCACCTCGGTGGAAGCGGGAGTTAAATAAAGCTATTTCACACATATGACCTATATACCGGGCCTGTCCAAATCTTCTGAGTAATCCAAGGCAAGTACGACGGGATTTGTCCTGCCTTTACTTACTTGGGTTGGGTGGCCGAATGGTCAACTCGTGTTATGTCAAGTGGTGTGATGACGATTCAACGCTTGATCGTGACAAGCAGTAGGGTTTCTCTTCGGGTCCTGCGGTTTCCTCCCACTGAGTTCACTTCGCGCAAGCGAAATATTGAAATAAAATTGAGCCGTTTGTTTGTCCCGAAATGACCTAGTTTGTGTCGAGTAGGGTATCTTATCCGGGAAGGGCGCCCATAATGACATGATGTGATTGGTGGGGCGCCTTATAATGACAATATATCTTTGTCGGGCATGTGCAAACCCTGGGGTTGGGGTGGGGGGAGAGAGCACAGCATCGTCAAGTGCATGTATATCGGTGCTCCACAAAAGCCCATTGGCGCCCTCAGGAGCCTTAGCCCCCCCCCCCCCAACAAAAAAATCCAACAAACAATTGGGGGGGGGGTAGCTACGGTCCTGTCATATCGGAATGCCAATATATACCACATTTTTACTCTGCTCACGTACTAATTTAACTTTAGCCATTGACCATAACAATACTGTACCTTATCCCATTTATTCTAGAGTGATGTCCAGATTATTTGTAATTCTGGGAAGATCCTTTAAGGCGATCAGCACGTATTCATTAACCATGTTGGAAAATAGAAAGAGATTATTTCTCGTGGAAGAATTAACGTGACATAAATAGTTTCAGACTTGACTGTCACTTGTGTGGCGTGGACAATAAGTAAAAGATACTGGCGACATGCAGTTAAGCTGATTGATCTTAGTTACTGTCACGTCTAATCACTAATGACGAGATCTCACTTGCAAAGACATATCTTTTGATACTCATTAAACTATTTTTTTTGTTGTTACAAGAAATGAAATTGATAATTACTTCAGAATCCGAAAGTCCTTATCGACAGTTTTCGGATTCCCTGTACAACGCCGGGTTAGCTCTGTGCAGTATTTATTTGCTCCACTCCCTTACTATTTTACCTTCAATCTGTTGGTGACCTTTGAGATATTAATATATTGACATTCGACATAGTCCAATGATGTTAAAGATATATTTGGTTATAATTTTGCGATCTTTCCATTTGCAACCAATGGCCATTGATTGATTTAGAGGGAATTTCTTCCCTTTATTTGTGAAAACACAATGGATTCAGCTATAGCCGAATTGCTCCAATTTTGGTGGTGGGTATATGGTTGTCATGGATGTTGTTTTCTTTAGGTCATGCATTGTTGCTATCTGCATATACTTTCATGGTGTTGGTTTATTCGTGTTTCCGTCTTTATTAGCCCTCTTATAGAAGAAAAGTAGGGTGCTAAAATACCATTTCATTTTATTTATTCGTGTTCGGGTGCGGGTGGGTCTAACATCGCATGACATCCGCCCTGAATAAACGGTATAATGAAATACGAAAGATACCGGGCTTGTTACTGTCGGATTATTGGAGTTCCCGACTAACGATGCGATCAAACCAGTTGAGCATCAAACTGTATTTATGGCAAAGTTTGGGGCTTTTGTGTGGAATTTTCACCATAAGAGTTTCAAAGATATTTGACATTGAAAAAAAATATGATAAAACTTCGACTAAATATATCTAAATATAGCGGGGTTAAATGTACCTTCGCCTGTCATTTCGCTATGTCTGATCTTGAGATCCCGGACAAGCCCCAAATTGTTACAATCATCGATTGTAGTTTACAGATTCAGCGAATAACTCGACCAGACAAATCTACACAACAGCCGATTTAATAATATATACAAATAATACAAATGTAATCGGACAAATGAGTATCAACAGCGTTGATCAATTTACAGCATTACTCACAGTATTCAGATCAGTTTTACCACTATTCGGCTGAAATCTTCTTTGCTCTCTGGGCTTCTACTGCTTTGAATAAATATTTTTAGACAGTACTTTACAGATGCCGTCTCGGCGTTGCCGTAGTAATTCACAATTTGACAGAATTGAGATTAAGTATCTCAGAACAGCACAATGTAAAACAGAGAGATAGTCTCTCAAAACAGCACAATAAGTGCAGCAGCACGAAATGGCAATAAATCTAAAACACAGACCACGTGGGTCAATAGAAACTTACGACAAATGTTGAGTTCTGTAAGAAGTGTTAAGAAAGGTCTGCTGAGGAAGTTCTGCCCTCAGCGTGGTCTGGAAAGGCTTATATAGTTTTAGGGAGTTCTAGAACCTTCTGGAACATTCGCCACCATTTTCCAGAACTTTGCAACTTTTTCTAGAACCTTCTAATTATTTCTAAACACTGTATCCAGAAGTTTCCATGGTTTCTAAATGACGATTCTAGAAACTTTGATCGCCATCATTACCTCATCTCAGATTTCCGTCTGTATGTGTCCTAGACAAATATTACATGTAATGGTATGCCTACATGCCAGTCTTTTTATGCTTATTTGTGAATAATAATATAAACATAATCAGTGCATATATTAGATCATTTGTATCAAGCGTTGTGTTAAATGCCCATCTGTGATAATTATATAAACACAGAAGTCATTACATTATTACCCAACATTTAAGTGCACCAAATCATCAAGAATTTTTTTTAAAAGAAATGTTAAATCGGAGATTCAACCGTTCGGTCACAGGGAAAACGATATATTAAAATATCTACGATTTGGATTAGATCGCTATCAGATTTTCTTATCAAGCTCCTTTGGCATTATTAAATCTGAACTATGATATAAGTCTAAGTAATGTTGTTAAGAAGAACGATAATCCGCAATACGCTCAAATTCTTAGCGAATCCCTGAACGAAAAAGATCGTCTTAGGTAAAAATATACACGGACGGATGTCACGGCCCAAACACGAACATAACTGTGTCTGTTGTCAACATTCCTGAATTTATTGTTAATATACCAAACAGGTTTCCAGATGGACGTTCCATCTATACAGCATAATTAAAGGCAATATCCATAGCTCTTTACTAGCTTTTATCATCCCATTCAAAGAGCTGCTATGTTGTTTGTGATGCTAGAACTTCGCTTCCCCACATAAAGCAAGCGAATTCTTATTTCCGAAGGTTTTGTTTTATCTGCATTGATGATACCAAACATCAGTCAGCTTGACCTCCTCCTGTTTTAACTTGATTTTATTATGACTAAGGGAGAAGATGACCTGCACTACCTTCTCACGACAGCGAATTGTAACACAGTGTTTTAAAGTAGCATTTTATACATGAACTTTCTTATGTTTTACCCATAAATTACTACTTCATATGTAAATAATATTAACTACCCCCCCCCCCCCCCCTGTCCATAATATCATGTATAATATATCGGATGTTAAATTTGTAACACACAAGCAATACATTTAAAAAAGTACAGATTGTTACCTTTAGAGATATAATATGTGATTGATGTGACGTATATTCTTAATCTAGCGAGATACACGCTTCGTCAAGCAGCAAATCAACACATCACATTTCATTAAAATGACTTTTCTATCTTCATCCTATTCAGTGAGGTGTTATCGTTTTATACCTTGTAAAGTTTCTCGTCTAGGTGTCATCTACCACAGAGACTTTATCCGGTAGTAATGGATCTATAACAGGAAATCCTTTCAGTGAAGTGACAAACTAATTTACACAGCTTTTTGTATTCCTATTTGGTAAGTTTAACATATGCACTATAATTATTTCTTTTTACTATAAATTGAAGAAGTATTAAGGGAATTAATTGATATCTTTTCTTTTATTAGTGTTTAAAAATCCGCTTACACCTATGGGATATCGAAGACAAGTTGTCTAATTTTATTATGCTTAGTGCACGCGCCTTTCTTGTGGGAAGAAACTGGAGTACCCGGAGTAAATCCACGATGTTGAGAAGGCAAGCCACGTACGCTCACACCAGGGATCGAAACCACGACCGCAAGTCAGAGGTGACCGACCAGGTAAAGCTTGCAGCGCGACGCCTTATACCACCAGGTCATCCCAACATGTAACTATATTTATATCAAAATCGGTGCATGGCCAATGGTGACACTAGCGCTACAAGAATTGGCGATCGATTGCCTAATATGTGTCTGGCATTTAAAGAGCGCGTTAAAACTATTTCTGAAAAAGGGAATAAACATATATGAATAAACAATCTGATTAAAATACAGATCTATATTTCGTTTCGTTTTTTTATACTTTCGATGGCCTACACTACATGAAGATCTGACAAGTTATAGCGATAGGTCACGTCAGGGGTCAAAAGACCGACTTATGACCCTATGATGTCAGACATTTGATTAACCAATCAACATTGATGTTACTAGTGGATTACCCACAGTTCCGTGCAAAACACGCCTAAAGCTCGCCGTGACAGACCGTTTCATTGGCTTATCCCTGACACCATTCAGAACACGAGTTAAATAACAACTCTTCCAGATCCAAGTGTAGTAAAGACAAGTAAAACGAAATTTTGAACTATAAAAACGAAACGAAATAGGATCTGTGTTTTAACCAGATTGATGAATAAACTACGGTTAGAAAATATATTGTAAATATATGGTTATATTAAAACACCCAGCATTCAATACACCCATCGCTCCCCAGTTTTTACTACGCTCATGGTCACGCTCCTCCTGCGTGCACTGTTTCCCGGCCATCCCGACCATCTCTTGCTGCGACCATCAAACACCTTGCTAGGCTCCCACTACACTTCTTTTTGGCTGCTAGGCTGGGACTGATGGATGAAGCTCAGTACCCCCCCCCCCCTATATATATATATACTGCATTTATTCCATCTGCACAGTCATTGCCTTTATTTCTTTGTATGCAGCTGTATATTTAGTATCATTAATTTCCGTTCTACTTTTGATTCACTAATTACCATTTGCAAAACTTTAAGGGGAGGGGGTGCAAATGGGGAGTTGGGTGACATAAGGTCTGTTATTGAGTCTGGCGTGGTTTTGATTTCCCGGTTGTACGTGACAAGGAGTAGTCTCGCCTGTCCCAACCTCGTGGATTTTCTCCGGGCCCTCCGGTTTCCACCCACTGCTGAAGTTCCCTTTGAGCATGAGAATTATTGAAATAAAATTAAATCATATGTTAGTCCCGAATTAACATAGTTTTTGTCGGGTGGACGTTACGCCCCCCCCCCCCCCCCCCGTCATTATTAAAAACAACTTTTTTTATCCACTTATAATATTTCCAGAAAACAGTTTGCCATTGAATTTGATGTAGACGTTTGACTATACTCCAATAACCAAAATAATCAAAATTTCAGATTGTGAGAAAAATATTTTTTAAGAACACAAATCAAAAATATCTAACGCTTTTAAACCTCAATATATTGGTCAATTTGTAGGTTGATTTATTAAACCAATACTTTAATCTCAAACTCATGTATCCAACTTGCTCATATAGGCCAACGAGCAATTCATGACCGAAACGCTTACAGTATTCAATGTGATGTTCTTAGATTATGTGTTCATTTAATATTAGGTTTGCCTTCTTATACCATGGCGAAATGGGAAATTCTGGATAAAAGATTCTCCCGAATCGACGAATATATGACGTATATGATTAGAGTACTATCCACGATAAAACAACTCTTTTTGATCTTACAAAGTGACAAATTGGAGCGAATATGAATCCTTCCGTTTTCTTTTTTCTAACAAAATGACGAATGTGACTATTGTACTTTGATCCTATGAAAGTCAAAGTTATGCGCGGGTATGAACTATTAAATCACAAATAAATAGTATTGTCTGGCGGTCACAGAGATAACAACAGAATGCAAATTTCAAACGTGTTTTTCTCAAAACTTAAAATTCCCACAAACGTGACGAAATATGTGCCATGAACTGGCAAAGAGTATTTTCCATCCAATTTATTATAGTTGGTAACCGAAAGCAATGTCTTTGGATACGCAAGCAAAAATTCAGTTATTTCATCATTTAATTTCAGTTTTTTGACCGAAATCCTTACCTGTGATTACCGACCAGAGTTTCAAGTCTGCTAAAAGGTATCTAATGGTAATATAATTAATTACATTATCAATGTAATGGCCCCAGCCCTGCGTCTGGTATAACCGACGGACGGACCGGGGCGCGGACATGATAAAAAGAAGAAAATAAACCACAGGAGAATTCTAGAAAAATCAAGTTCGTCAGATTTGGGGTTTCGGGAAAACTGAAGATCTCGTGAAGATTAACTCGAATTCTCGAGATCGTTGATACAGGAAAATGCGATAATTTTCAAAATTCCGCACGATCCATAACGCTTCCGTATCACACATAAAATATAATGATTATAAATATATTTAAGGATTTAACACATCTTATATAGGTCAGTGAATAATCTAAACATTAACGGAAAGAAATCTCGTGATTTAATGAATATTAGAAAATGCAACGTTTACTTATAGTTTCTGTTTTTATACCATAAACACATTTACACAAATATAGATTGTACGAAGTTTATAGAAGAACAGGGCCCTGTTTCTCGAAATCTTAACTAAAGATAAAATCCAATTTTAGTAGATACTTCAATTTTGATTGGCTAAGCACTAAAATCAATATAATATTTTCCAATCAAATTACTAAAATTTGGATTTTATCTATAGTTAAAATTTCGTGAAACAGGCCCCAGGTCCGTTTACCATTTTAATACGCCCGCAATTAGTGTCATCCCTGTTTAACATCAGCAAAACGTTATGTACGCAATAGAGAGTATATTTTCATCCAATTTTAATGAAACTTTGTGTATAGCTCCATTCATATCATCTAGTCGTTTTTTTTTCAAATTCGAATTATTGCCTTTGAGAAATCGATACTAGGCCAAAATTTGCTATTTGTTACATTTTACATCAATCCCGTCAATATAATGAAATTTGGTCAAACGTCTGATTAGTAGGGCGGCCTCTACATTCGAAAATTTAAAAAAAATGTGTCGCTCGGAAATATTGATTCGCACTAGTCAATGATGTATTATTGGGATATTTTTCTACAAAAAAATACATAAAAATAAAACCATGACGTCAACGTGCATGTAGCCTAAACGTATTTCAAGGTATGTTTTGATATATTTTGACAGTGTGTGTTGTAGAAATTCTAAAAGCGCCGATGGGTATAAATACCAAATCATGTTTGATTTCAGGCTTTCCATAAGTGCAGTTGTACAAAAATAAAACGAATCGTAACAACATCTAAATATTCCATATTGAAAAAAAAGCAGGCCCCCACGGGATTAAACCACACGATCATCTGGCTAGCCCCCGGCAAAGATAAACGTAGGACATCAAACATGCGGATTTTAACCCAGAAACTAGGTGTTATTATTTCCCACTATGTCTAGATAATCGTCGCTTAATAATTCATGGTTTGCTTAAAATACGTTAGATTTCGACCTCTGTAATTTGATGGAAAAGTAAGGCATTTTTATTGTTGGGTAATTTTGTCAATTTACGGATGATGACATAGAGATAGGCTTTATGGTTATTTGAATAATAGAGCGACTGATAGACGTCGTGACGATCTCAACGATGCCTTTCCCCACCAGTTTTGTAAATTGAGGCTAACTATCGATTTCAGAAGAAAAAAGTAATATCTTATATATATAATCACAGACTATCACATTGTGTAATACTGGTATATTTATATAAAAACACATGTTTGAAACATTACAGATGAGAAATTCATAATCGTTTAAATACAGGTTTTGTACAAAGTAAGATAGGTAATTTTATAAAAGTCTTACATTATCGTAAATATTAAAGGTCAAACTATGAATATCAAGTTGTGTTGTACGACAGAGAAGAAATACGCCATCAGAAAGTAAGAAAATGTCAAATATTAATTCTAAATACTTACAAAGCTCTAAGATAACAACAAATATCGTTAAACTATGGGCCAACAGCTTTAATGAGGGTTCTCGCTGAAACAAAGGCCAATTTCAAATAGAATTACTGTTGATAGGGCTTGGCATTGAACTTATATCGTTAATTTAGAGCTGGCAAATGAAATAGCCTATACGTAATTTTGTAAACATTAACAACATGCCAGTCTACAGTACTGGGCCTGCTGGGATTTTTTACTTGGTACTTCGGTCAACAAAATCAATGATTTGCATAATAATTTTAGGCTACACATACAGAAATTACATTATATGTTGCCAATTTGAAATAGCTAAAATAAAAAACATTTGAAATACCGTAGATAGGGCTCGGAAATGCCCAACCGAAGTGCATGAAATTGATCTGAAATAAAATAAATGTCAAAATGAAATAACTCACCGCTCTATCAATTCTTTCTTACGACCAGACAGTTTTGCATTTCTTTTTTTCAACTCCTCTCGCAATTCGGTGATTGTCTTGCAATCAAATCTCGAATCATCGGCGTTAAAAGACATTTTTCATCGACAAAACACTTTTTAAAGTAGAAGTGTAAGTCTATCCACGGTTCATTTTATCCATATTTACATCGGTCGTACCTCCCCTTATAGCTAGCCTGGACGCCCATTAATCCTAAAAGGGGCCTTTGTTGTTGAAACTGTCATTTAATTGTCATTTTGTGATTTTATTTGGATAAGATTTGTACTTTGTTATGTCCGAGGGTGATTGCAGGTTTCCAGTGAAATTGTAAACATATGTATCATATTGACAAATTGGTCAGCTAAAATTTTACCAGACTATAAAATTACACAGTAATGTAGGCCTAATCAGGTTTCTAAATTATTCGTGGACTGGACAGCTAAAAGATTACTATAATTATAGTCATTACCGTCGACATCTCTAATTGGTCTCTTATCATTGTAGTTAACTGCAACTAGACCAGGAACTTACTAATATCTGGAACAAAAATATAGCTATACTCCTTTAAGCCAAGGCTTAATCATCTGAAGACCAACCGCAGATTACATCTGTACCAAAGTTTACACCGTTCAACTTTAAATTTTGATTTTTGGTGTGTTATTTCGATTATTTTGCTTTAAAAGCTTAATCCGTTTGTTTACAACCATTAAATGCCGTTTTGGCGTAGGCTACTATGTCGACATTAGAACACACAAACACATACGATTTGGGGTGGGGATGGGAATGGTTAACGCGTGCAAGTTTGATCATAAGGTCTGTAACTGAGCCAAGTGGCGTGGTTTCGATTTCCAGCTTGTACGGGACAAGGAGTAGGCTTTATTCAGGCCCCCAACTAAAGACCCCTGCGGGCTAGCGAATTATTGTAATGCAATTGAACTACATGTTAGTCACGAAATTACCTAGCTTGTTTCGAATGGACGTTAAACCCCATTTTCCATATTCATTTTTTTCTCACTCTCTCAACATAGGATTTACATTTAGGCGTACTTGGGTGTAACATTTTTAACGAAGAAAAAATATCCCCAACCCCCTTCGAAAACAATCAACACATAAATTCTTTAAAATCGACTACATTATTTTTAACCAGGATCAAAGAGTTATTCTATACATGGCATAAGACATGATGTAAGTCAGATCAGTTGATTCATCTCTTCTTTGAGAAGCAATATCACATTGGCATCATTATTGTCGTCGTCATTTTTCTCGCTTTTAAATTGAAAAGGTTACATTTAGCAATCCCATTTATTATTTCTTTGTGTTGCCAACGGCAACTAGCAATGGCCACAAAGAAACAAAACTACCTCCATTAACAGCAGCTGTCTTTTGAAGACAGACTTCACACGATAACCTTTCATTTGTTAATCTTAACTCACATCAAATTGACAGAAGAGCCGGAAACTTTTTATTTCACATTTCTTACCGTTTGTTTAGTATCAGGTTGTAATGTAAAAAAGGGCTTCGAGATTTTGTAAAATTTTGACACTTGGAATTTCTATACCTGTCATGCATAATTTATCCAATGACCGAGGAGTTACGTATAATTAAAATAATTCTACCAACGCTAACAAGTGCAAAAGCGAAATCCGAGTTTGAATTGGCACGAAAGCATGATTTTATTCATTTTCGTTTTTTTTTTTCTTTATCGGAATTTTTTTAAATTTATTTTGACAATTCAAATCTTACTGTTCACTTAATCTCGAAAATGTTCGAGCTTTACAAATTTTATAATTTTAATGGTATAATTTGGTTTTGATGGCCCCTAACGGAGATTTCTTGGGCGTGAAACCCTGCAATGCTATGCCGACAATTTGTCGAGCTCTGTAATTTGACAATCACCAACAAATATCCGCTTGTTTTTAATAAAAATCTACTTTTCAGGACACACGTAATTTGTCGACGATGAAGAAATTGTCGAACATAAATCGCGGTACAGTCTTCAACGATAAATAATTCATCATTAATCTATCGTGCCATTCCAGTTTACTATAAAGTAATAACAAAAGCTTTGAAATATGAATATTTAATATAACAATCCACAAGAAAATATACAGATATCTCTCACAAAGGATATAAAGGGATTCAGATCACTGAGATCAAGCGATTGTCTATGGTATAAATACAAAATACATTTGTCAATTGTTCTAACATAATATATAGTTTTTAATCTTTATTTCACCTTGTCAGCTATATAAATATATCAAATCACGGCAAACATCAAACGGTAAAAGTTACTGACATGAACAAAGCCAAGATTGATTGAATGGAACTATAGTTCTAATAAGAGTTTGCAAATGTGGGTAATTATATTTCAGAAATATCTTGATTGGGTGTTCAATGCGCGCGACTAGCCTACTTATATCCAGATGTTTAGAAGCAGGTTGGAAACAATTTTCTGGATAATTATTGGCCGTCAAGTATTTGCTAAATCAAAAATTAAAATATTCAAACAAATTTAAAATGACAATGTTCAGCACAATAAGAGCGGCGAGCACAGACATAAGCAAACCGTTTAACAAACCAACAATTGCTCGCTTTAAATATTTCTATTGGTAATGTAGCGCCTTTATGTGAGAAAAAAAAGGTAAATTAAGAATACAAAACCAAACAAGCATTCACGTAGTTATCGACTAGAGACAATTGTAGATAATTGACTGAAGCCAGAGACTAATTTCTTAATTTCTGAAATACACGAAAGTCGTCTAAATCATTAGCATTAGGTAAGCATCTTCACCTTAAAGATTAAATAAAGACTTGACAGTTCTCGCTATATAGTTAAAAGAAATAGATAATGAAAACAGAATATGCTGAAAATTACACTTCAATTGCTTCACTCTGAACCGAGATATTAGCGATTCAATTCATTTTTGGCTAGCCTCGAACGTCATTACTAACTTTGGTGCGATAATACACTAAGTCTCGATTATCCAGTTTTACGTTAAATTATCCATCACAAAATGTATTCAAATCCACTAGATATCGCAGGCTAACGATAGCATCGAGAGTTGATTATGGTTTGGATAAGTTAATTAATGTCTAATTAATAATTTAGATAACATTTCAGACCTAAAGAAAACCTGCAATATTGGCAGATTTAGCTCGAACATAATGCATGTTTAAGACGAAACCCGTTGATAGGTATTAAAGATAAAGATATATTTGAGAGATGAGGTAGACGGGAAACAAATCCTGGTCTTGAGTGAACTAAACGCGCTTTATTTATATATAAATCGTGATACCTGCCTAATATTGCGGGGTTTCTGCGGATACTCCGGTTTCCTCCCACGTCTAAACATCACTGCGTGCAAATGCATTATTGAAATAAATAATATATATATACTACAAACTGAAAATCACAAAGCAACCCACACGACATAAACGCCCAAGCTTAATTCGATATAAAAAAAATAGTTAAAAAACACAAAACGTATAATATCTAAATCGTAAATAATAGTAGATATTTATTATGGGTCTGAATCAGGAGCATACATAGCCGAACAGAAAGAAGGGGACAGAATAATATGTTTTGCATGACCATTGGCATGAAGTCCATCAGTGCCTATACTATAATTTATACACTCTCTGTTCGATTTCCTCACCATGGGATTCTTCCACCGTTGAAGATAAAAAGTATCGCCTCTGTCACGAGACTTGCTTTTTGAATATGGCGATAATTCGGTACGGCTAGGTTTTCTTAAACTTTGAGCAAATTGAGCAATGTTTCTGTAACACACTGTTCGACAAAACACACGTCTGAATTTGGTGCTAATCAGCGAATATAGAATAAAATTTATAGAGGCATTTATCTGAAGTAGAAGATTCGTTAAGTTTCCTGCAATTAAAATTGAATTTCGTCTATGTTTGGTCATTTCCACTTCCGCTAGTTCCAGGTAAGTTCTATACATCAATAAAATGGCGCCCGGAAATTGACACACAAGAAAAACTAACACAACCATTATTAACATTTTGGTAATTTTATGTTGATCACGATTATGACGTTCCGTTAAATGTCGATTTGAAGCAGTTGTCATTTGTCGTCGTATTTTGTTGGCTTTCACAACAGTCGAGATTAGGAGTCCATTGAAAAAACACAAAGAAATTAAAGGTATTATGGTGAAAAACGTAACCAAAAACCAATAAAATCCTATTTGATAACTGTAACTTGTAGCAAACTCTGTATATTGTAGAGCTAGACGTGTCTTATTATTTTCAAAAACCTCTACTACTTCCAATTCACAAAATTCTGGTAATGTACATATCACAGCCATCACCGCTACTCCACAAATTATATGCTTGGCTCTTTGAGGCGTACAGAGTTGTCTACCTTTCATGGGATGGACAACCCCGATATACCGCTCTACCGTAAAGGTAACTGTTAATATCACAGATACGTTGGCGGCCATGTCGGTTAGCACCCGACCTGTTGGAAACCAATGCCAATAATTAGGCAGGTCCTTTGTAAAATCATAATGTTTGAAACTCAGCGTAAAACTAAATATTAAATATAAACAATCGAACGCTGATAGGGCAGAAAGATAACAATTTGTTGAGGATTTCATCGAACGGCGTGTAAGCACTATTATACTTAATATATTACCTGTCACCCCTAACGTCACTATAAAAGGCACTAATAATTTTTGAACGATGTATCGAGTCCTTGCCAAATCGCTGGCATTATCAACTATCACCTGTGTCATTATGGAAACGGTGCTATTTACCATATCCAACATTGCCAATTTCCTCGAATTATTCATCTTTAATATAGAAGATCAGTTTCATAGCATCAGAACCAGCAACCTTTTACTGCACAGTAATTTTGAAATAATGCACTTTTAGATTCAAATTTAACATTGTATCAGGATCGTTACCAAGCAACACAATATATGCTGTTATAGGCATTCACTAACATATATCCCGTAAAAAGGAATTTGTAATCATTAAAACACATTTCCGTTAATATTTAGTAATCCAAATTATACAGTTAATTCGGTAAAAGGTATAGCATTTAGTAATTAACTTCTGAAAAGTTCCCAGAATACTTTAAGAAATTGGTAGCGGTAAGTTCTATCCAATATTCGTATAGGGAAAACAGCCTCTTCGTCTTTATGTATGCGTAGCTGATTTTATATGTCCATTAAGAATTGGCAACATCATCACCGATCTCTGCACTTCTAACTTCTGCTCATACACTCCCTGCTCTGTGGAATAATAAAGGCAACACATATATATATATATTTATATTATACTGTATTGATCTGATCTATCAGCTGGTGACTGAGTGGTTGACTATACTTGTAGAATATAGACGTGGGCATTTAGATAATAATGTTGTCTTTCACAGTATTGGCATTGTATTGATCAAATGTTTTCTAACCAAAAAGTGATTTGTCGTACATCTGAAACTATGTATATATATTAAAATATTGTTATTGTCTATTACGTTTCAAGTATTTAAGTAGTATATTAAATTGACGCAAACGTCTAATATACAGTAAACATATTAGATATATAAAATATTTATGTACATGTACATGCATCTCAAAGTTATAAATAACGGTAAATTAATGCGATATATATTTAAATTAAACTGGTGGGAATGTCAATGACAAAAAATGTAATGTCTGTATACTCCTAATATCCGGAAAGGCAAGTTTCCCATACACAAAATGAGCTCAAATTGGAAATTAATATGCGTATAATAAAGGAGACACGTATACTTTTATTAGAATTTTGTTTTGTTTGTACCTGGTCGCAAACGTAACATATACGCCCAGTGGAGTCACAATGAAGAGATTTCGTGAGTATAGCCGTATCGCATTTTAAATGATTTCTGAAAATTACATTAGATGTCACCGTAAATTTAAGATATTTCATAGTTCGTCATAATGATATAGCCCCTCAAGACCGTTTAACAAATCAAAGGGTATCAAATAAAAACCTAAAATCTTATACAGTGGACTCTGTCAAATGCGGCTTCTGAATACTATGGCATTCTGTGAAATCCGTCATCAGTTTCATGTCTCGATTTATCACCTCATTACTTCAACCAAACACGTTTTCAGTAATCTGTATTCTGAATATTACGAAATAGGACATCATACGATTTGCATTGAATTAACATTGTATAATCCGGCCGTCAATCCGTGGTTGTTAACCTACAAAAAATTGACAAGCAATTCATCAATCAATATCTGTGAGATTAATACTCATGTCGGTCTTTGTTGATAACCTTAATGACGCACGCGTGGTTTCAAAATTCGGCACATCCCGGCATTGTTTACGAACTATGGTTGCGCAATAAGTCTATTATTGAATTGTATTCTCCTGAAAAGTTTAAATTTTGTTGAAGCCGGTTTTTAGAGCATTACCCGATCAGTGATTGTGTGATAAACATGCGAGCGCTATCCATTGGCTAGGTGGCTAAGACGCTGGCTCGTTAGCCAGGGGGTCGCGAGTTTGATCCTTGCATTGGTCGAGAAAGTTCATTGGGATTTTTCCCTTGTCAGTGGTGCAGGACGAACGGCCTGACAAGGACAGTTGTCTAGCCGTTCAGATGGGACGAACCACCGAGGTTCCATTGCCACACATTGGCGTGCACGTAAAGGATATGAGTAGGGAAATCTCCCTCATAGCACATTGTATGGCGTATGCCCGTATTCATTTCCCTAGCAGAAACAGGGCAGTAGGACGTTAAAACCCCATTGCATTTTACAAGCTATGCAACGTAAATAATAATGATATAAATACATACATACCGTAATAGATATTTTTTCTGCAAGATTTATGATGGACACTTCATAAATCCGGCATTTATAGTCGACGACTTTAATCATGTTCCTAATATAGTCCAAAACTCAGTTAACAACCCTAATCCTTAGCTTAGTGTCTTACTAATTACATACGGCATCTACGTTTTAGAACTGAATATATGTTGGCCCAGTAATTTTATTAATTAAACCTCAGCTTAGTGCTGTAAAAACTATACGACAATCTGCGCTTTAGAAAGAATATCTTTAGATAAATATTTTCGCTTGTTGTCTTTCGAAATATTTTCTAAAGTTCATTGTCTGAAATGGGTGGTTCGTTTATTTCTTTATTCCAACACTAGATGAAAGATACTAGAAACAACTTTCTAGTCGCCCGTGTTTAAACGCAATATTAAATTAAGATGTTACAATGCTGTCACTGGCAGAAATTAGACCCAGCAATTGTTTGTTGAAAAGGGTATAGAAAGAGGAATAACATTGACAAAAATTTAAAAAAACATTGACCGGTTTACTAAAACATTCGTCACCATTGTCTATCTATCAAAAAGATTGGCCATCTCCTTTAAAATGAGGTCAAACATAAGGACTAATTAGGAGATAAACACTTCCGTCTGTTTCGAATTATAGATGACGTATATTGACCACTATTAACTTTGATAAAACAAATGGGTTTATTGTTCATTTGTCCACGCTCTTCAACCAATCAGAATCGAAGAGATTTCAGATACGCTGAAATCACTGTTCTTTACTTCTTCAGAGCTTAACCCCGCATTATATTTATTAATGGAACCTAGAGCGTAGAACAACAGCAGATTATGTTTTGTTTTTTAAAAAAATGGCATTTATCTTTTATGACCTAAAATGACGTACAGATTAAAGATAGAAAAAAGCATATCTTTGTTTTTCTGAAAGCAGTTAAAGGATTGTAACTTAAAAGAGCCGTGTAAACACGTCATATCGTCCCAGGGGATCAAACTTTATGTTGCTTGAATGGCTGACCATAATGTGTATGGAGCAGGCATACAACGTCGGTATATATTATTTCTAAAAGTCTTAGAAATGTTAACAATAGAGATTTACAAGTCCTAATTATCGAAACCTATCTCAAGTATACAAAGTATACAATGCAATTGTGATATACACTGTGCTGTACGTAGACATGGAAATTAATTCGGTGTACGAAAATAGATAAACGCGACAGTTAATCAATTTAAGGAAAGAAGCTCCAATATACCGGAGATGACATGGCGTCAATAACGTCGATTAAACCAGTGACTTGTGCAGTAAATATGTTTTTTTTTATAAGAATACAAAATCTCCTCTCAAACAGTGTACATCAGACTGTAGAGCTTTATGAACAGTTTCAATAACCATAAAATATATCATATTCACTCAAATATTAAAACTCAACAAAATGAATGGTTGAAAGTTGTTATAAAATTATGTTAAAGAGGCTATTATGCAGAATAATTTGATTGTAAAAGTGTCATATTTTCTATATTATTATCTTATTATATAAGGAAATTTATATGAAATAATTCTCTGATTACATTTATATCAGACGGGAAATTGGCTATAAAAACGAAAGTATACGAAATCATACATTACTTTAGTTTTATCATACCATTTTGCTGTAATGGCCCTTTCATCCAAAACACAATTTATTGAAAATCAAAGCAAACCGCTTGTTTAAGAAGAGTATTGCAATACCTACAAACCCACAACTTACTTTCAATTAATTATAAAACCCCATACTATTTTAGATGTTTAATTAGAAACGCATAATTTTAAAGGATTGATAGCCAGATAACTATTAGCACAGAAAGAGATTGGGAGATTTAAAGTAGCTAAGTCTCTAACTCAATATCATCCAAAGTCATACACGTTGAAAATACGAATTATTTGTCAATTCAAATCAACATTGATGTTGTGATCTTACCAGGAAAAGACAGGCTTCTGATATCCAATAGTGGCCTAGTGGTCTAGAGTGTCGCGCTTAGACCTCTAGCTGGCCGGTCACCTCTAGCATGCGGTTGTGGTTTTGATCCCTGGTGTGTTTGTATGTGGCTTGTACAGGCATAGTTCATAATCGTAAACAATTTTCTAGAAGTATATCTTGCATTTCATTTATGAACGAGTAAACGATTATAAGCAGAATGAAACTGCGGGAATACAGTTTCCGACACTGAACCTAAAGCTGAACTTGTAATGAAATTCGTTTTTATTTTAGTCCACCGGGGCAAATGTTTGTTTATATTATACGACCAAAGTATCAAAAGATATATGTATATTCATAATATTATTATGAAATATGCAAGTTTCAAGAACAAAATTGTTTGAAAATGCATCACTGAAAAAGGAAGAAAAATTTATCTATTATGATAAGGAAATTAAATTCTGAATTAGCAAATGGCTTTCTTGAATATGCACAACTATTGTAATATAGAGTAATGTATGTAACTAAATCGGGAATTATCTTTTTGTCCTATGGCACAACTACCTAAATATGTGTACATGTATATGAAAATAGGTTTTGGGTAACAGAAGGGCGGACAGAAGCCTCCTCCTTAAAGTCGTCTGGTAAGGAATAATTCGAAAGGCAAATGACACCTATGGATGCACGAATATGGACATATATATGCAACTATTTTGTGGCATGCATGACCTACTATAGTAACAATACCTACCAAATATCATGATGAAATCGACACAATAGTTATTTAAAATTTTATAAATCAATTAGAATACGCCAAATGGCTTATGTTTTGTTAGATATTTAACAAATGAAATCTCATTATTGTTATTATTAATAATAACACCTGTCAACATCATTGTTATATGGCTTTCATAAGTTGGTTATTATTAGCCAGTTACACCTGTTGAATTATACAAACACACTATAAAATGTCATATATGAATTTGGTCGAAATTGCCATTTGTATTTATTGCGTATTTATCAAACGACCGTACTTTAGATCAACCCATGCGATACAGCATTTGTAAAATAATATTGCAATAATTTTAATTTACACGGGATAGAATTTAATATTTATACATTCAATCATGCGCAATGATATAACCCTGCAGTCGAACTGACCTGGCACACAGACAAAGTCTCTCTGTAGTCTGCCGGATTTATATAATATCTTGGAAAATAGTCCCTTCAAACCAAACCTGGTCTCAAATGACAGGTGGGGTTCGCAGGTACTCCAGAAAAAAATGACCCAACATACTATCAATGTTGGACCCTATAAATGTATTATCAAGATAT